CTCTTATATCGAATTCCATCTGTCAAAGGGATCTTTTACGTCCACTCCAATGTAGACACGGGACCTCGGTTTTTCGTCTCATCCGAAAGACTAGACAGCTGTCCTTGTCCGCCTCGAAAAGAATAGAGTCCCTATATATGATATAAACGAAGAAACGGATGGGGTGGGGCGGGGGTGGGGGGGGATGAGGTATTTGACATTTTCATGTGGCCTCGTCCAGTCGATAAAATCAGTCAGTTAGTTCAGTCGAATAATCCAGTCGAATAAACCAGTCGAATAATTCAGTCGAAAAGTTCAGTCGAATAAACCAGTCGAATAGTTCAGTCGAATAATCCAGTCGAATAATTCAGTCGAATAAACAAGTCGCTCAATATTAAGCAGCGGTGGCAGCGGGCTAAGATAATATAGTAGCAAATCATGCTCGTAGCCATAGCTGAAGGAGCCGGGGGCATGGGGTAGTGACCGGGGGGCTTCCCAACTAGTTTCAAGAAATGAAAAGAAATGAAATGGGGTTTAACGTCCTTCTGTTCTGCTTGGAACTGGGCTAATGAAGACGGGCAGACGCCATACACTGTGCGATGAGGGAAATTTTGCCCGGACAGCGGCACTACGGCCTACTCTTATATCGAATTCCATCTGTCAAAGGGATCTTTTACGTCCACTCCAATGTAGACACGGGACCTCGGTTTTTCGTCCCATCCGAAAGACTAGACAGCTGTCCTTGTCCGCCTCGAAAAGAATAGAGTCCCTATATATGATATAAACAAAGAAAGGGGATGGGGTGGGGCGGGGGTGGGGGGGGGGGGGGATGAGGTATTTGACATTTTCATGTGGCCTCGTCCAGTCGATAAAACCAGTCAGTTAGTTCAGTCGAATAATCCAGTCGAATAAACCAGTCGAATAATTCAGTCGAAAAGTTCAGTCGAATAAACCAGTCGAATAGTTCAGTCGAATAATTCAGTCGAATAATCCAGTCGAATAATTCAGTCGAATAAACAAGTCGCTCAATATTAAGCAGCGGTGGCAGCGGGCTAAGATAATATAGTAGCAAATCATGCTCGTAGCCATAGCTGAAGGAGCCGGGGGCATGGGGTAGGGACCGGGGGGCTTCCCAACTAGTTTCAAGAAATGAAAAGAAATGAAATGGGGTTTAACGTCCTTCTGTTCTGCTTGGAACTGGGCTAATGAAGACGGGCAGACGCCATACACTGTGCGATGAGGGAAATTTTGCCCGGACAGCGGCACTACGGCCTACTCTTATATCGAATTCCATCTGTCAAAGGGATCTTTTACGACCACGTCAATGTGGACACGGGACCTCGGTTTTTCGTCCCATCCGAACGACTAGACAGCTGTCCTTGTCCGCCTCGAAAAGAATAGAGTCCCTATATATGATATGAACGAAGAAAGGGGATGGGGTGGGGCGGGGGTGCGTGGGATGAGGTATTTGACATTTTCATGTGGCCTCGTCCAGTCGATAAAACCAGTCAGTTAGTTCAGTCGAATAATCCAGTCGAATAAACCAGTCGAATAATTCAGTCGAAAAGTTCAGTCGAATAAACCAGTCGAATACTTCAGTCGAGTAATTCAGTCGAATAAACAAGTCGCTCAATATTAAGCAGCGGGCTAAGATAATATGGTAGCAAATCATGCTCGTAGACATAGCTGAAGGAGCCGGGGCATGGGGTAGGGACCGGGGGGCTTCCCAACTAGTTTCAAGAAATGAAAAGAAATGAAATGGGGTTTTAACGTCCTACTGTTCTGCTTGGAACTGGGCTAATGAAGACGGGCAGACGCCATACACTGTGCGACGAGGGAAATTTTGCCCGGACAGCGGCACTACGGCCTACTCTTATATCGAATTCCATCTGTCAAAGGGATCTTTTACATCCACTCCAATGTATACACGGGACCTCGGTTTTTCGTCCCATCCGAAAGACTAGACAGCTGTCCTTGTCCGCCTCGAAAAGAATAGAGTCCCTATATATGATATGAACGAAGAAAGGGGATGGGGTGGGGCGGGGGTGGGGGGGGGGATGAGGTATTTGACATTTTCATGTGGCCTCGTCCAGTCGATAAAATCAGTCAGTTAGTTCAGTCGAATAATCCAGTCGAATAAACCAGTCGAAAAGTTCAGTCGAATAAATCAGTCGAATAGTTCAGTCGAATAAACAAGTCGCTCAATATTAAGCAGCGGTGGCAGCGGGCTAAGATAATATGGTAGCAAATCATGTTCGTAGCCATAACTGAAGGAGCCGGGGGCATGGGGTTGGGACCGGGGGACTTCCCAACTAGTTTCAAGAAATGAAAAGAAATGAAATGGTGTTTTAACGTCCTACTGTTCTGCTTGGAACTGGGCTAATGAAGACGGGCAAACGCCATACACTCTGCGATGAGGGAAATTTTGCCCGGACAGCGGCACTACGGCCTACTCTTATATCGAATTCCATCTGTCAAGGGATCTTTTACGTCCACTCCAATATATACACGGGACCTCGGTTTTTCGTCCCATCCGAACGACCAGACAGCTGTCCTTGTCCGCCTCGAAAAGAATAGAGTCCCTATATATGATATGAACGAAGAAAGGGGATGGGGTGGGGCGGGGGTGGGGGGGGTGAGGTATTTGACATTTTCATGTGGCCTCGTCCAGTCGATAAAGTCAGTCAGTTAGTTCAGTCGAATAACCCAGTCGAAAAGTTCAGTCGCATACTTCGGTCGAATAAACAAGTCGCTCAATATTATTTAATCTGACAGTTGAAATCAAAACTTTATTGAGATTTTCCTTCAATAGAAATCCCCTAAACAAGCTGTTGAACCCTCTTTGCGAGTAAGGTCGTCATCTAGGGTTAAGGGTCAACGACTGAGGTTATCGACTGAAAACAATGGCCGTAGTGTACTATAAACAACTTGTTTTTAGTCTGTGTCCGATGCATACAACTGATGACACCATAGTATCTAGTCGCTTCGGAATAAAGACAACGATGTGGAGGTATTTATAGAGGAGTAGGCTACATGCTGTAATCTTAGTTACTGCCACCACTGCTTAATAAAGTCAAGCTTGACGTTTTTCCTCGTCATATTAAGCGACTGGATTATTCGACTGAATTATAGGCCTATCTGGCTGTTTGTTTTTTCGGCTGAATTCCTTGACTAAATTCCTTGACTAGTTTTCTTGACTAATATTTTATCGATTGGATTATTTGACTGGTTTTATCGAATGAGGTATTTAGCTCATTTTACAGACTGATTTATTCGACTGAGAGATTTGACCGGTTTTATTCCCCACCCCACTCCCTGACTATGAGCGCTATACTCAATTCAGACGGATCTTGCAGGGTGGGGGATGTAGGTCTATTACTAGCTATCTACTGACTACTTAAGTATTGCCTTAATGCCTTATTTTGGGCTAATCTGTATTATCTTATAGTTCACTGCCACTCGATCAGCTTAATATTGTGTGAATGGATATGATGTTATATATATATATATATGACTGATATATTCATATTCGACTGATAAATACGACTGACTTAATCGACTGAAATATTTGGTTGGTATTATAGTCTTGACGAAGCCACATCAAATAACACCCACCACCACCACCACCACCTTCACCTTCACCTTCACCTTGCGCGCACACCCCATCCCCTATTAAGTACAGCGAGGGCATATGTAGGATTCTATTTTATAGGGGGTAGGGGCCGAAAATGTTACTCTGTACATTTTTATCACCAAAGTACCTAATTATCAGTCTAGTTTTGCCTGAAAAATTGAAATTGAAACTAGTAATTGGGAGGGGGGGGGCTATGACTAGCTTGACTGGGCTACTCTTTTATCTTAGTTCACTGCCATTGCATCTTAATATTGACCGACTGCCATTGCTTCTTAATATTGACCAACTGACTGATATATTCGACTGATAAATATGACTGATATTTTCAACTGTTTTTTTCCACTGGATGATTCAACAGGTTTCATTGTATGGACTCGACCACAAGAAAACATCTCCCCCACACACACACACCCACCATTCACAAATGAGCTGGGCCCAAAAACATTAGTTTCTACTAAAGTATCGCCTAAATACCTATTTCTGGCCAACAAACAAACTTTTTGGAAAGGGAGGGGCTTGAGCAACACCACACCCCACCTCCACCTCCAGTCGCTTAATATTTAGCGACTGGTAATATCCTACTGTTTTTTTTCAAATTGATTATTTCGATTTATTTGTATGACTGGTTTTATCATTTGGTCAAGACCGCAAGAAACTGTATTATCCAATACTCAAGCAAATATCTTATCAAATACCCATCCAACAATGTAACTATGGGCAGGTGTAGGGACACTATTCTTTGGGAGGCCGAAGCCAAAATGTTACTCTGTACCAAAATTGTCACACACCCCTGGTCAGTATTTAAAATTATGATATGTTTTCCCCCCTCCTCTCCTCCTAACCTATTATTAAGGAAAAGCATGTATTAAAATCTCAAGTCTCTGCATCTACATCGCAACATCATAGCTTTTTGTTTCTCTTATTCCCTGGCTAAGTGTGTAAGATGCTGGCTAGCTAGCCTGGTCGTCATGTGTTTGATCCCTGCATAGGTCTTCAGTATTTTCCAATGTGGTTTCCCCTTGTCAGTGGAGGGTGTGACCAGTACAGCAGGGATAAAAAGCTGAGGTACCATGTACAAATCCGCGTGCACGTTAAAGATCCCTTGGCAGATTGACTAGGCCATAGTGCCACTGCCTGAGCAAAAATTCCCTCATAGCACACTGTGTCGTATTCCCGTCTTCATTTGCCCAATTGGAGCAGAACAATAGTAGGACAATAAACCCCATTTCATTTCTTTCCCCCCCCCCCCATTAAACTCTGCACATTAATTAGTCATCTGCATTTCCTGAACACATGGATAAACAACCATGGGAACCATATAATAACAGTGCTTATGATATTACCCAATGGCCAATTCACCTTTTAAAAAAAGACAAGTGTATAATATAATTAATTTATTAAGTACAGCATAAAACTTAAAGATACATTATGGAAGATAAGATAAAGAACTGGCAGTTCTAACTATAATACTTAACGATAGGTTCCAGGCAACGAAATTTACAACACATGAAAATCTGATTACGAGTAATAACCAATGAAGTAATTATCAGAAAACATTTGAATTTGTTTCGATTGATTGTCTCATGACAATTTATATTAGTGAATGAATGAATGAAATGGACTTTTAGCCTTTAGAGCGTCCACTACATTCTGTAGTAATTATCGCAAATAGGCTTCTTCATCTCATGACCTTAAACGGTGCATATAAATTTAAGGTCAATCGGATATTAACTTTGGCCTCTAGAAGACATTAACTATAGCCTCTAGAAGATATTAAGGGCCATTACTCTGGCACTTATTATTGGGAATTGTTGCAAGTCAATTTAAATTAAAATTATATAGTACAAAACCCCAACAATTTTACAAAATTTAAATACGACAAACAATGTACTAAAATTAGCACATTTGTAAACAAAATAACCACAAACATTACAATTTTACAATGATATTGTAAATCTGTATTTCGAAATTAAAAACACAACTTAAATTCAATATTGATCAATTTCAAGCAATATTGATGTGAAAAGATATGATCCTACTATCCAATATTTATCCAATGGTTTCATTTTGTAATGAACAAATAAAAACATATCCTACAACACCAGGTACAAGTAATTAGTAAAGACTCATTCACAAATAACAAAATAATAATTTAAATTTAAAAAAACATGTTCCAAAAACACAAGGACATTAATTTCACTTTGTCCCTAGCTATAGAAATTACTGAAATAAATTTACAGTATGAAATTTATCTATGTGAAGTACACAGTTAAAATATAGTATAGGAATTATACTTCATGAAAATAAAAATATAACAAATCTTAAAGATACAAACATTACATAGTTCAAATATAGTATAGGAATTATACTTCATGAAAATAAAAATATAACAAATCTTAAAGATACAAACATTACATAGTTCAAATATAGTATAGGAATTAATATAGAATTATAATTTATGAAAATGAAAATATAACAAATCTTAAGATACAAATGTTACATATAAAATTTTGAGTCAACTTATTATTCACTGGACAACATAATCTTTTACCCACCACCACTTAAGTTATACAAAACATTATTACAGAGTGTTTTTATTCAAATTTAATTAAAAAAACTTTATAGCAGACATTTTCTCACATATATTTAAATTAAAAACATGAATTGGAATTCAATATTGACCAATTTCATTCTTGCCGGAAAATATAGGATCCTAATATCCAATATTGAAGACACAATTAATATTTTATAATCAGTAGTGTACGCGAGTCATGTACCTTATGGCTTGGGGTACCATTTTGTAATGGTACACACAAAAACATATCCTATAACACAATGTGGAAGTAATTCACAAACAACAAAATAATAATTTTAAAAAACGTGTAGGATGCACTAAACAGTCAAAAACAATGTGCATTCATTTTGAGCTGTTCGCATATTTAACTGAACATAATTGGTTACAAATTACAATATTTTTTCAAAGATAGGCTGCCAGGCAACGAAACATAAGCATGCAGCAGCTTCGTCGTCCAGCAGTCAACAAGCATTGTCACATGGTTTTTTTTTGCAAGTAATTAAAATTTTTACAAGACATTAAAATCTTATTCTGAATAACAACTCATTAACTAATTATTAGAAATCATTTATTAGAATTTGTTTAGCTTCTAATAGTTCTGGCCTACACAAACGATTACTATGACACTGGAAACAATCATATATTATCTTTAGCCTCTAGAGCTATAACAAGATTTTTCAGTAATTATCATAAATTGTTGAAAATCAATAGCCTTTTTTGTCTCATAGTAATAACTGTAATAATTGGATAATAACTCAGCCTCTAGAGTATCCACAAAGAGTTTTCAAAGTGATCAAGGGCCATAACTCTGGCAGTAATTATCAGATATCATTGAAAATCAATAGGCTGCTTAATCTCATGACCTTTTTTAATGTGTGTAAATTTAAAGTCAATCGGATTTAGGAATTTTCAAAATCATCAAGGGCCATAACTCTGGCAGAAATAATCGAAAATTGTTGAAAATCAATAAGTTTCTTTATCTCATATTAACTTTGTGGAAACCGGATGGATAGACTGTCAGGGGCGATGGCAATATACAACCACATTCATATTACAATATTGTGCTTTTAGAACCATTTTCATCTATTTAAATGTTCCACCACTTAATTTTTACTTGATTTTTCCGTTGAAATGCATACATTATTGGCTTCCATGTAGCTTAGGTTTTGCTTGAATTTTAAAATGAATATTACAGCCTCTTTACATATAATATCAAAAAAAAATGTGTATATTGAATGTTCCCCGAAGTCGGCAAAGTATTGTTCCAAGTAGGGGCTGATTTTAAAATTGAAAAAAGGAATTGGTCTTGCGAAGATTTTTGATTTTCTTTTTTTGGTCTTCACAAGTTCTTTAAGCAGTAAATTTGGTAGTCTGGTAGTGTAATTCTGAAAGGTGAATAATACATAAGTTTATCACATTAACCACGTACTGAAACCATTTATTTTATTATAATAATATGAACTTTGACTTTCTAAAGTTTAATAATAATACAACCTCCTTTTGTTATTTGTCTTTTTATTAATCAGTGCCTAATTCATGAAGCTAATAGGTAACAAAAATCTAAATGGTTTTACCTTCTGATGGAGTACTTTCTGTCCAAACCCAATTTTTTTTCTGGTTTGCTTTCCAAACAATAAAGCATGAATTCTTTTCAGTTCAGGTCTGTTCCTACAAATGCATATATTTCATATTAGAACTGGTTTTACAAAGAAGGGTTGAAGTAATGAGCATAACCAAAATCTATAAATATATAATTTGCATAATTTGGATTACCAGAATTTAAATCAGTACAAGTTATAAATAATAATAATACACCAACAGTTGCAAGGCAAGATACACCCACATTTTGAAAGAGATGGATTGAGAACAAGCTAACAACAAGGGGTCATAATCCAAGAAGTTATGGTCTGAAATGTGCGAATATCGAAATGGACTGATATATTTGGGATATAAAGATATATTTTAAGTTTCATCAAAATCTATAGAGTCCATAACCTTAGTATAAGTATTTTATACTAGGCGTACAAGGATCGACCATTTTGTCAGGCAGTTTCGGTACGGTTTTCAACATCTCAACCGTCATTCGGGTGTAACTGTGATACATATAAAAGTTTTTTAAAATCGGATAAAAATTGATACCACAAGTTAAAAACCTGATTTTTCGTTCAATCAGAGGCCATAACCAGGAAGTTACAGCCCGATATTCACAAAGGAACCAAGATCTTGGGAATTATAATCATACATTTCAATTTTCATCAAAATGGGATAAATATTGTGTCCACAACCTTGGTATTACATACGTTTACACTGTGTGCGAACATGTAGTGGCCATTTTGTCCATTAGTTTTACGAAATTTGATTGATGTGTAACGGTGATATATTTAAATGTTTTCTTTAAATTGAATTCAAATTGTGACTTCTAGAGGGTCCACAAGCTAACAACGCGATTTTTCAAACAATCAGTAGCCATAATCCAATATGCACAAGATCTTTGTGATATATAGGCATAAAACAGCGTTCCCTCTGTCCCATACATATATCAAGGCTAAAGAAAGAAATATGCAACTTAACCGTTGTTTCGCAAATAACTTATAAGTACACGTACCATTCAGTATTCAAACATATTTCTTTTATGAATGTTATCAGGTTTTCTTTCTGGATAAAAAAGGAGAAACAATATAATAAAATTACGCTAAAGATACCATGAAAATTAAAAATTAAAATACATTTTATACTAAACATTGAACATTATGAAAATTGCTTTTATTGCTTATTATTTCATTCACATTCTCAATATAGTCTAAGGTATCCTTACAGATACACATACCATAAAAATATTCAAATTGATGGCGCATTTGCTGAGATAAGGGGAATCCTGGTCTTAAGCTGTTTTCTTTCGAATGCTCCATATGCTAATATACTCAGCCAAATTAAAAACCCGGGATTTTTGGGACTAGATTTTAAATATTTGTTTTAAGGCAACTATTTGAGTGTTATGTTGTGCACAGACGACCTTGACATCAGCAGAAAGCAAAGATACGTCTCGCCGAAAGTCCTTCACATTGATAACGTTCGTGATGTCACAGTACCCCCCAAAATGAAATTCACAGACTTGGAGAACAATCGGAATAAAGTGTTTATTAACGGTTGTGGCCTCCTCTAGCGTCTCGTACTGCCACACAACGTCTTCTCATGGATCTCAGAACAGGACTTGGACACCGGCATTTCTTCAAAAATTCTGGGTAGCAATTGCTGTATGGAGTCGAGCATTGTCTTGTTGAAACGTTAGTCCAGGCCCATGTCTCTGCATAAACGGAAGAAGAACAGGTTGCAAAATTTTATCCCTGTACTGGACAGCATTTAAGTTCCCTTGGACAACAACAAGGAGAATGTCCATGTGCACAAAAAAATCACCCAAACCATGACGCTGCCGCCACCAAATCGGTCAACTTCTCTGACGCATACTTGCTCGTAACGTTCACCTCGTCTTCGGTACACTCAGGCCCTGCCATCGCCAAATCTCAAAGTGAATCGAGATTCGTCACTAAAGACAACCGAATTCCACTGTCTTTGAGTAAATCTTATGTGTCTTGTGGCCCACACAAGTCGGTTACGGCGATGAAGAGGTGTCAATATTGGTCCATTATAGGGCCTCCGAGCTCGATGACACACAGCCTGCAAGAGATTTTGAACAGTTTGTGCAGTTACCCTTCCACCAAACATCTCTGGAGGTTGCAGTGACAAATTTGTTTCTAAGATGACGTAATCGTATTGCTTGATCTTCCTGGAGTGACGTCACATGTGGCGCTCCAGCCCTTGGGCGGTTGGCAATAGTTCCAGTTTGAAGCACTCTCATTCTAAGATTAATTATTGTCTGGCGTGAACAATTATAGAGCCTACCTATAGCACGTAGACGTTCTACATTTGAAAGGCGCAGCATTTTCTAACAAAGATGAAAATAACAATTTTAATTTGTTTTTCCAGTTCAAGTTACGTGTGCGTGTTCAGTTTAAGCAAACTTGCATTGATTGACCTCACGAGTTTGTGTTTGCATGTGTTTTTCATCTTTATATGCTCAAAAGTCACGTGATCCACGTATCACGTGACTTTACAATTTTATGAAATTAAAGACTTCTTACTACTTACTATCGTTAGAAAAAAAAAAATTTGTTGAAATTCATCAGTGTCAAGTTTTTAATTTGGCTGAGTATATATATAAGATAGATTGGTGTGCGGCGAACTTAACGAACCAATTAAGGCTAATTGGCAATAGCCAATGACTGTGAGATGTTATTGACACAAATAAATAAAAGGGATTTCCCCCATAATATGGAAAACCTAAATAAACTTTTTATACTAAAAGCATTTGAAGCCATCTCCAAGTATAAAGCAAATTTTATGGATTACTTACATTTGTAACAAAATCTATCCAGCTTAATGGATAGTCTGTATCACTATCACTGCTATCAGATGCAGAAGGAAAACTGAAGAAAAGAAAGAAATCATGAAAATATACAAGAATTAAACCTCAGAGCGAACCATTACTAATATAAATGATTGTAACTGCTGCTTCTCTTGCGGTTGCAATTTGAACATTTTGCTTAATACTGTATTAAATGGTTGACCTAACACCATAAAATATTTTCCTTGGAACAGATTTTACATTATAACTTGAAGAATCGCTTTTCTCAGCATCGGTTTCGGTACATGGTTTGGATCTACAAAAATAAAACAGGTATAATATTGAATTATACCATTTAGTAATCAAACTCAGGTATATATCCTAAAGCAATGGAGCGAGAGAAATGTGGTTTAATGTCCACTCGCCGAAAGCTAAGTCATTTCGGGACTAACAAACGATTCAATTTTATTTCAATAATTTGCTTGCATGTAGGGTTCTTTAGCAGTGGGAGGAAACCGTATGACTGGGAGAAGACCCTCCATTTTAGACAGGCCACCCTACCCCTTCTCACCAACAACCAGGGAATCGAAACCACGCCAGTTGACATATTAGGTCAATTCAAGTCTTGGGTTACACTTGTGTTAAGGTTGTGTCTGATTTTTTGGCCATATATGGGTTTAACAAAATCATTTTAAGCTTTAAAACTAAATCTAAAAGCTTTAAATGAATTCCCTTTTGCTGTCTGCTGTTTCACACCAGTGTTGTAATAAATGACTTTTATTTAACAAATATTATGTAATTAGAAATAATATAATCGGAAAATTGATATTGAAAATAGACAAACTGGGGGGTCTCAGGTATAAGTTAGTGTTTGGGTAACACACTGGTATTCATGTTGTGTAAATATATGCTTGTTTAACACATCCTCAACACCATAGATTGACAATATACAACCACATTTCATTGTGGGCGATTAAAAAGCATGACTTACAAGTCTATTGGTGCTGTTTTTCTTTTTTTAGCTTTTGAAACTCCCTGCAATACAAATTGAAACAAGAGCATCGCTAACGCAGCAATATACGTCCACATTCCTGTTTTGTTTGATATGGTCCAGTTTGCATTGAGGGTCTGTGAAATAAAACTGGGTTGTAGGACTGCTATCAGTATAACATTTCGTTCACATTAACAGAACACAATTTTTATTTTAAAACAATCGATGTCTTTATTCTAAAAGCATGACGTTTTTTTTTTGTTTTTTTTTGCTTGATTGATAACGATAAGAGAATACTTGTGGAAACGTCGTGCTTTTAGAATAAACTAGTGATTGTATCCCATAAAAACTGTGTTCTGTTAATTTGTTCCCTGATCGCTAAATGCCACTTAAAGAATAACTAGAAATGGGCGTGGCTCTGCCCCTGGGGGTCGGGCATGCACCAAAAACAATAGGGATCTTCCTTGGGGTATAAGGAATAAGTATACCAAGTTTGAAGAAAATCCAGTAAGAATTGCGCCCTGTAGGCGACACAAAGACACACGAAAAGAAAATGGGCGTGGCTCTGCCCCTGGGGGTTGGGCATGCACCCCAAACGATAGGGATGTTCCTTAGGGTACAAAGAATGTGTATGCAAAGTTTCAAGATTATTAGTTAAGAAATGTGGCCTGTAGACGACAAACAAACAAATACTAGAAATGGGCGTGGCTCTGCCCCGGGGGGTCGGGCATGCACCAAAAACAATAGGGATCTTCCTTGGGGTATAAGGAATAAGTATACCAAGTTTGAAGAAAATCCATGAAGAATTGCGCCCTGTAGGCGAACCACAGACACACACACACACACACACACACACACACACACACACACACATACACACACACACACACACAGACAGGGGCGACGGCATAATACGTTCACATTATGAATGTGGACGTATAAAAAGAATAAAGACAGGCAACTAAATGGACATACAGACAGCAAAAAGTAGGATGTTCAGAGCAGAATAAAAGAAAGAGAAAGCAAGGAAGAGAGGGACAATACAAAACGAGACAAGGGAGAGACAGAAAGACAGATGGACATACAGAGCAGAGCAAAGAGAAGGAAAGCAAGGAAGATAGAAATATTGCAATGTTACAATTTCAGAATACAGCTGTTTTTATAAAATTAACAACATTTACACAAATCCACACAAAAAAATATATATATTACCGATTCTTCTTCAAACTTGGCAGTTTCACCTTGTAGCAAGATTGTACAAATTATTACGTATCTAAAATTTAAGATGTCATGCACAGTTTGCTCTGGAAACTTTTCCTCAACGTAAAAGATCCCTTTGACAGGTGGAATTCGATATAAGAGTAGGCCGTAGTGCCGCTGTCCGGGCAAAATTTCCCTCATCGCACAGTGTATGGCGTCTGCCCGTCTTCATTAGCCCAGTTCCAAGCAGAACAGTAGGACGTTAAAACCCCATTTCATTTCTTTTCATTTCTTGAAACTAGTTGGGAAGCCCCCCGGTCACTACCCCATGCCCCCGGCTCCTTCAGCTATGGCTACGAGCATGATTTGCTACTATATTATCTTAGCCCGCTGCCACCGCTGCTTAATATTGAGCGACTTGTTTATTCGACTGAATTATTCGACTGGATTATTCGACTGAATTATTCGACTGAACTATTCGACTGGTTTATTCGACTGAACTTTTCGACTGAATTATTCGACTGGTTTATTCGACTGGATTATTCGACTGAACTAACTGACTGGTTTTATCGACTGGACGAGGCCACATGAAAATGTCAAATACCTCATCCCCCCCCACCCCCGCCCCACCCCATCCCCTTTCTTCGTTTATATCATATATAGGGACTCTATTCTTTTCGAGGCGGACAAGGACAGCTGTCTAGTCTTTCGGATGGGACGAAAAACCGAGGTCCCGTGTCTACATTGGAGTGGACGTAAAAGATCCCTTTGACAGATGGAATTCGATATAAGAGTAGGCCGTAGTGCCGCTGTCCGGGCAAAATTTCCCTCATCGCACAGTGTATGGCGTCTGCCCGTCTTCATTAGCCCAGTTCCAAGCAGAACAGAAGGACGTTGAACCCCCATTTCATTTCTTTTCATTTCTTGAAATTAGTTGGGAAGCCCCCCGGTCCCTACCCCATGCCCCCGGCTCCTTCAGCTATGGCTACGAGCATGATTTGCTACTATATTATCTTAGCCCGCTGCCACCGCTGCTTAATATTGAGCGACTTGTTTATTCGACTGAATTATTCGACTGAAGTATTCGACTGAACTTTTCGACTGGTTTATTCGACTGGATTATTCGACTGAACTAACTGATTGATTTTATCGACTGGGCGAGGCCACATGAAAATGTCAAATACTGAAGCGACTAGATACTATGCTGTCATCAGTTTTATGCATCGGACACAGACTTAATTCAAGTTGTTTATATTAGTACGGCCATTGTTTTCAGTTGATGACGTCAGTCGTTGACCCTTAACCCTAGATGACGACCTTACTCGCAAAGAGAGGTCAACACGTTGTTTAGGGTATTGCTATTGGAAGGAAAATCTCAATAAAATTGTGACTTCAACTGTCAGATTTGAACTTGGGGGAAAATAATCAAAATAGACAAAAAACGATGTAATCATATTTGAGTTAGTGCGTTTTTTATTTCAGTCAAACAAACTATTCCCAAATTTTAGCCCAACCATCGACCGAGTTTGTTGACTGGAAATTCTAGTGGTACTTAGGGGTAATTGACAAATTTAGCTTATAAACTTGAAAGTAGGCAATCCATTGAGTATGTTGCAAGAGAATTAGACATGGTGTCTGGTATCTTGTCAGAGGTATCGGTGGAGTTTGAAGATTCTCAAATAGACCATGCCATGCAGGGCTGCCGACAACCAGTATCGCAGCGCAATTTGCGATACATATTTTGTCCGTTGCTAACCAAAAATTAAAATCTAACGTTTTTGATTCGCAGTTACTGCGAATCATTAATATGCCTGTCATTTTGGATATTGACACAAGAATAATCCACATTTTTAAGACTAGAAGGCTTACTCAACACTTTCAACGTGTATAAAATGTTGAATAAAATTTTATAAACAAAACTGAATTCTCCGTGTGACATTTTCTTCTCGAACTGCCCAGACACAATACTATATAACACAGGGACATAACTCTATGAATATTGTCTGCGATATCACTTATGTGGAAGCAGACGTTAAACACCAAGAACTACTACTACTACTCTATGAATAGGGACTATTAAACCGGAAATAGGGAATCAAGAAGTAACACTCACGTTGTGAGAGATCAAGTAATTATATCATATTCATTTTGAAAGAAATAAATCCAGTGTATCTCCCACGTATTGTAAATAAAATATAAAAAAAATAAACACATGTTAACGTATTGTAAAATGATAAATCAAAGTAAAAATTCCCATAAAATATTATTGTTTATATCGCGTGTGTCTAGTTAATCGAGGTGCGCCCGATTGAACAAAAATAATAATACACGATAAAAAGCAGACCAAATTGTTTTCTAACGAAGATTTCTAACGTAACAAAAAAATTACAATTAAAATGAGTGGGGCTTCGGAAGTCACTGTCAAGAATTGGCTTCAGACGTAAGACCTAACTAAATGTCTACATCACATTCACAAACTGTCACAAGTACTTGTGGCAGTGCTAAAAAATCTAAGAATAGTCAGAATGGAATCTAATCATATTTCAATTCGTTATGAATTAAAGTAATATCTTGTTATTTAGGTGTTTTACGTTGAAACTGAAAAACTGCTAATCAATTTTTAAATTTGCTAATCAAATTTGGCAAAATTGGACTTTTTGATTAGCAGTGCTGCTAATCAACTGTGAAAAATTACCGACAGCCCTGATGCCATGCAATGTTTGTCTTCTGCATCTGATCTTGTGAATACCATGCTTCAAGTTGAAGTTCAACAACAAGCGCAAGGAGAATCTTTTGGAGTACAACCAACTTATGTGTACGGGAAAACGGGCAGGCCAAAGACTGAAATACCATTGAGCCTGCTGGAATTTTTGATAGAGTGTAATTTCAAGCAGAAAGATATTGCCGAACTTTTTGGAATTAGTGTCAGAACCTTGAGGAAAAGGCTTTCAGAGTATGGCATCAAATATGGAAATAAATTCAGTACAATATCTGATGAAGAACTGGATGTAAAAACTGAGCAGATATTAATAAACCATCCAGATGTTGGCTATAGATCTGTGAGGGCACACTTACTTAGTGATGGAGACCTGTTGTTAAACTTGCCACAGAGAGCAAACGCCATGGTTTAGCATCAGTAATAGAAGTTCAGTGCCAGGGTTGTGGAGACATATTTAAATTAAACACCTCTCCCAAAACATCCACCTCAGAGAACCGAAACCGCTATGACATCAATCTTCGTGCTGTATGGGGAAGTATGGTTACCGGAAGCGGATTGGCCCATTTGTCTGAATGCCTGGGAACTATGGGAATTCCTACCATGTCCCAACCTACCTTTTCTGCCATAGAGAGTGAGATTGGACAGTGGTGGTGTGATATCCTGAAAAAAGACATGTTAAGAGCAGGGGCTGAAGAAAAAAGACTTGCCATAGAAAGAAAGGATTACCACCAGGGTGTTCCAGCAATTACTGTTGTCTGTGATGGAGGGTGGAGTAAAAGAAGCCACAAGCACACCTATAATGCACTTGGTGGAGTAGGCATTGTCATCGGTTTGGCAACACGAAAACTTCTTCACATAGGTGTCCGCAACAAATTCTGTTACATCTGTGCTACAGCTGAAGGTCAACAAAGAGATCCAGTGGACCATGAATGCTTCAAAAATTGGGAAGAGTCGAGCCAAGCTATGGAAGCAGATGTAATAGTGGAAGCATTTTCTAAAGCAGAACATGATCACAGTGTTCGTTATATGCGTCTCATTGCTGATGGTGATAGTTCTGTGTTTGCCCGCATTCAAGAAACTGTTCCTGTGTGGGGGCCCTATGTGACTAAACTTGAGTGTGCCAACCATGCCTGTAAGTGTCTTCGGAGCAATTTGGAAAAACTTGTCGATCGAAAAAATCAGTATAAAGGTAAGGGAAAACTGACCCAAGCAGTTCGTGTACGACTGGTATCTGCTGTGCGTTGTGCAATCAGGATGCGGTCAGAAGACTTGGATCGCCAGTCCGCTGCAAGAAAATTGGCTCATGATATCCAAAACTCTGTATTTCATGTATTTGGTCAACATAACAACTGCTCAGAGTTCTGTAAAAGAATACAAAATGACCAGCAACAACCAACTTTGATGAGCAGCACAGAAAGCCAATATCATGAAACAGAAGAAAATGAAATGGTGATCCAAGTACTTAATAACCAACATGCATTCTGGACAGATGGATCCTCATTGTTATCACAAGATCAGTCTCGAATAGCAATATCAGGAACAACCCTTACCTCTATTGAGAAAGAAATCATTGATGATGTTAGACCAATTCTACAACGAGTAGCATCAAAATCATCAAGGCTTCTTGGAAATTTTACAACCAATCTGGCTGAAGCGTGGATGAATGTCCGAGCCAAGTTTGACGGTGGTAAATTCTTCAACAGATGTCAACGGTGCTCGTGGCATGCAAGATGCTATGGTGGAGCGCTCCGACAAAATCTAGGTGTTGCTTGGTCTCCTACTGTGTGGAAAAAAGTGACCAATACAGATCCAACAACTGCATTCACTGTATTATATGATACTAGAGAAAAGAAAATCCAGCAGACTAGGATGCTAGCAGCAAGACCTGTGCAAAAAGCAAGACGATGGAAGAAAAAAATGCAAAAAAACAAAGTTAGTGCTTCTCAAAAGGCTCAACAGGAATATGGACCAGCAAGACGATGGAAGAAAAAAATGCAAAAAAACAAAGTTAGTGCTTCTCAAAAGGCTCAACAGGAATATGGACCAGCAGCAATTGATGTGGTTCCTGATGTTAGTCCAGATGAGTTGAATGCAAGAATGACTGCTTTTGTACAGAGCCATTTAAACATTGGTGCTGAAGTCAAAAAGGCAATTGAGGAAAGCACCCATGCTCAATCTCGGTCTGATTTGTGGCAAAGTGAGAGGAGGAAAAGACTGACTTCATCAAACTTCGGGGATATTATAAAACGCAACACCCATATCCCAATTCTGTACGGGACTTTCCAAGGCAACAAATTCACATCTGTAGGACTTGCATCAGAGGCTGCCACAATAGTTGAATACAAAACCCTTAAATATTCACAAGGTGATCCTGTTTCGGTTGAGCCTAAAGGCTTATGCATTGATGATAACCATCCATTTCTTGCTGCTAGTACCGATGGTCTTATAACATCAGCTACAGATGGACAACAAGGCCTACTGGAGGTTAAGAACTTGCTGCAGAATAAAAAACTTACCTTTACAGAAGCTGCCAAATCTGTTCAAAATTTCTGCCTAGCTGTTGTCAATGGAAAACTACAACTGAAGACAAGCCATCAATATTTCTTTCAGATTCAAGGACAATTGAACATTTTTAATCTAGATTGGGCTGATTTTGTAGTGCAAGCTACCCATCCACACCAGCTACATGTTCAGCGTGTTCCTCGAGACGAAAATTTATGGCAAACATCTATGCTTCCAAAACTTAAAGCATTTTATTTTAAATGTCTTTTGCCAGAATTAGCTGTTCCGAGATATGGAAAGAGTCCTGGAATTCGCGAACCTGGCAATTGGGTCCATGCTATTCTTTATCATATAATCTAATATAAACATTTACTAAGATATATTTCAGATACTGTAAAATTGATTTTGTAAAGGTTATAATTATACTATTCAAAAAAAGTAGGGGATATTTGATTTTTAAGTGTTATTAAAGTCACCTAATGAAACTGACGAAGAAACAAATGACAAAATGAAATGAAGTTCACATTCATCGATTTATTCCAAATGATCGTTAGACTAAGTAAGGCACAGACTGACCATTATAAGGGTAAAATGATACCCAGGGTCAAACAGCAAAGTTACCACAGCATCACAACCAAGTCAGTAACGGGTAAATCCTCCTCTGTTTGCCAAACAAGCATTGATCCGACGTGGCATACTCCTAATGAGACGTCTAAGGTCATTTTGGTCCAGATTGTCCCATTCCTGTTGCAACGCAGCAGCAAGTTCTTGGACATTGGCAGGACGTTGTTGACGTTGACGTAACCTCTGTCCAAGCATGTCCCAGACATGCTCGATGGGGGAGAGGTCAGGACTCAGTGCTGGCCAAGGTAATGTGGTGATGTTCTGTTGTTGGAGGTAACCTGTAACGATCCTGGCCCTGTGACATCTTGCGTTGTCATCCTGGAAGATGAAACGGCGGCCATGACGTCGTGCGAACGGCACAACATGGACTGCCAAGATGTTGTCCCGGTAGTACTGGCCTGTAACACGCCCTGCAACAACATGTAAAGCCGTTCTTCCAGCAACAGTGATGCCTCCCCACACTATAACAGAACCACCCCCAAATCGATCATGTCTGATGACGTTAACGTGTTGGAAGCGCTCGTTTCGACGACGCCACACCCTCCTACGTCTGTCCAAAAAATCAACAGTGAACCTTGACTCATCTGTAAACATCACATTGCTCCAGCGTCGATTATCCCAGTGTTGACGATCCCTACACCAACGACGTCTTGCTTGAATGTGATGATCTCTCAAACAAGGGATCACGCGAGGACGTCGGGCGCGAAGGTGACCCCTATGCAGTCGATTCCGAATCGTCTGGCCACTCACTCTCACACCAGTGTCTGTTTGAAGACAAGCGCTGATCTGATTTGCTGTGATGACACGATTTCTCAAGGCCAAGGTACGGATAAATCGATCCTGGGCTTGAGTTGTCGCCCTTGGTCGACCTGAGCGTGGTCTGTCCTGTACAGATTGTGTATCACGGTATCTGGACCATAGCCTGCTTATGACAGACTGAGAAACATTCATCGTCCGCGCCACAACCGCCTGTGTTGTGCCGATCTGTAGCATGCCAAGGGCACGTAACCTTTCATTTTGGGTAAGCCGACGCATATCAAAATTTGTTTTCTGGTCACTAAAACAATTAAACTGATTTTTACACCCTGGAATTCAATGCCACAATGACTGTAACATTCAAAGTCAGAGTCGTGCAAATCTTGGGTTGGACCCCCATGATGATCCCAAACATCACCTGCATTCCATGCGGTAGCTATTGGTGCGTTTGGGCGTCACATGTAACTGGAAATGTTTCTTCTGTTAGGTTCTATAGTGACTTTTTTCGTAGTCATTTGCATATTTTAGTATTATGCCCCCAAAATCAAATATCCCCTACTTTTTTTGAATAGTATATTTATTTGTGAATGGGCATAAAACTACAAAGGTCTCAAATTATATAAAAATATAACTGATATTTATTTCTATTTCAGTTTTCTTCTTCAAATCGAAACCAGTCAAAAGCACATACCAGTACACATATTGCACAGGGATCTGTAACCTCTGAGTCTCAACATCCAATAACGCTGCTGTATTGCCAAGATGGTCATCATCTAATCGTGTCAGACATCCACATTTAGTTGGACGTCGGATATCACACAAGTGGTTTGTTGATGAAGCTTCGGGTAAGTAACAATGTACATTCTTTATATTAAATGCAGCTGTCCAGAGTTCGTTGCTGTTCATTTGAAGTGGCTGATACAATGGACAAATAGTTTAGCATGTTGTCTATATTTTTGTAATCCAACTGTTTAGTCAGACTATTTAATTCCAGGGAGTGTATGCTTAATCTTTTCAAACACCAAATACAAGGTTATATAATCACATGCCTCCAAATCGTCTTTGTAATTTCGGGGGGGGGGGGGGGGGGGTTGGATGGCCGAATGGTTAGCACCTGCGCTGTATCATAAGGCCTGTCATTAAGTCAACTGGCATGGTTTTGATTTCCCGGTTGTACGTGACAAGGAGTAGGGTTGCCTGTCCAACGTCGTGGGTTTTCTCCGGGTCCTCCGGTTTCCTCCACTGCTAAAGACCCCTACGCGCAAGCTAATTATTGAAATAAAATTAAACCATATGTTAGTCCCGAAATGACCTAGTTTGTGTCGAATGGACGTTAAACCCCATCTCTCTCTCTCTCTCTCTTTGTAATTTCATATGATTTCTTTTAGGCATAGCCAAGTGGTATGATGGGACGGTACTTCAACTTGTCCGTGGTGTTGATGGTCATGAAGGAGCTGTATATAACGTGCAGTATGATTCAGAGGATGATGCTATTGAAGTGGATCATTTGGTTGAAGATTTTGAAGAGAAATCAGTGACATTTATAGATGTCTAGTCAGTTGTGGTTACAGGAAGTAATACCATCATATAATACAATTTCCACGCGTAAGGTCTCGATCTTCATAGTACAACATAATGTATGCCCCTGTCGACTCTGTCCATTGTGATCAACAATTTGTGAGTATCCTTTATGTAGGCCATTACACTGTATCAGGGTGTCCGGATTTTATTAATTGCAACTTTATTTGAAGTGAGGTTTGACATTAAAATACCATTCAGTATAAGAAAATTGAAAAGGGTCATAGATTGATGTTAAACACAGTTCTATGGGAGACAAGTACTTTTTATTACTGAGTGACGTTTCAACTAGGATTTACTAGCATCCATCATGCAATTAATGATGTCCATTCTGTCAGCGACATGCCATTAAGGTACCAGTGTGTTATTTAAGGGTAATCAGAATCCCTTGCAATCTACAATATCTATCCCAAGAATGGCTCAATTCCATTATTATTTACAAAGATATGTTGAATTGAAATTTATTTTTTCCGGGCTTCTCACTATGTAATACATTTTTAAGCCAGTCATCATTTTATTCTCGGTGAATAATTATTGATTCCAGGCCAAGAGATTATCCTGCATTGGTATTTTTATTTTTTGTTTTTTTACTTACATGTGAAATAATCAAAGTAAATACATATTGGCGGGTTTAAACCATGAGAAATTAGATATTTTATTACAAATGTCATTGACACATCGTTACTTTACTAAATATATATTGTAAAATCATATCATTTTAGTGTGCTTTCAAGATGTGAGTAATTATTCTCATGCCTCTGATTGGTCATCATTAGCTATGCAAATTCCTTTTGTTTTTACATATTTATTATGGAAAGGGGGGAGGGGGTATGTCCACTTGATACAAATTATTGCATTTCTAGACAAACGTAATATGGTAGAATTTTATTTCCATAATTCACTTGTGTGTAAGGGTTTTTAGCATTGAGAGGAAAGCGGAGGGCCCAGAAAAACCCACAAAGTTGATCAGACGACCTTACTCTTAGTGACACAAAAGCTTGGGATTGAAACCCGCGCCACTGACTTGACTCAATGACAAACCTCATAATTCAAAGTGCAAACATAAGGCCACCCCACCACAAAGCTCGGGACCACTGTTTTTCATCCTACCCAAACAACTAGACAACGTAAAAATCTGAGGAACTGTCTCAACCAACTCAAGTTTGGGACTCCGGAGTAAGCGTCTTTATCACTGATCCATCGTGGGTCTCTTTGTATAATGGTATCATTTGCTTGATATGGTATATATGTCTGAAATGAATCCAAATTTCAATGTAAATTTGTAGTAAACAGTAATTGTATTCCATAAAATTATGTGACAATTATTAAATTGCACTGAAACAGATTGAGTCATTTGGTCTGTCAGTGAAACGATGAATATCCTAGATTGTTGTGGTGTAAACGTCTTGTTACAAAGGACAATACAGACAAATGGCAAGTGACAAATTGTAGAGAGAAAAGAGTTGATCTTGGAGAAAATTAAAGAAATGAAATGAAATGAGAGGGACAAGGTGTCCAAGTCTGTTTGTCAAATGTACATGTACCTGGTCTTATAATATACTTACTGTTAGAGAATCTGTTTCGGATAACTTATTTGATATATTATGTTATCTTGCTTACGAACACAAGTGTAATAGATTTTCGAAATAATATATATAGTTACATTATTTAGGAAAGAGATTTTCCATATTGTGTTTGTCCACCCTAACTACTCCATGAATTAAATATCTGAAACTTTGAACACATTTGTATAAACGGTATAGGTCATTCACTAAAATGGCAATTGACATACAAAAAAAAATTCGAGCCAGATCAAAAAATTGATATATAATTCTATATACAGTTCATCATTTTGTGACATTTTTTGAACGTATGTTAAAGCTGTTGCTGGCTGTACGGTGTTGGTGTATATAAAGTTGAATTCTTTCAAAATGACTACCTGTAATTGAAAAAACTATTTTTACACTTTTAATGCTGCCTACATATATATAGTATTGGGGGAATAGGTGTGATTGGTACTCAGATTGGCACAAATATTTTGATCTCATCGTGATCACTATTCATCCATCCCTTCCAAATTTCAATGGTGTATATATCGAAATTATGCTTTGTAAATATTTGGGTTTCAACTAAATGGAAAGTTAAACTATTTCCAAATTCCATATATAATTTATTAACATACAAATCTCTTGGTATCCTCAGTGGTCTTATTATGTTCCACTCCACTATACACTGGGTTCATCCATGGGGTGTTCACATATTCAAATTATCTGCCCTTGATGGTAGTTTTATTCTACAAACCAGTCTTAGCTTCACTGTTTATGTTCACAACAATATTGTGTTTTTTTAAATAGCTTATTTGAAATATTACAAGAAATTTTATATAAAAGAAGAGACATGCACCCAAGGGTATATTCTAAAACATCCTTTTGATGGGAAATATGTTTTTATGTCAGTTTTTATGTATTTCTTTGATTGGTCTACAAAAATAGGACAATCATCAAGGGTATATTATTTGAATATGTGTCTCCCCCATGGATGAAACCATGGTATAGTGGAGTAGAACGGAATGTCACCACTGGAGACACTGAGGATTGTATACATGTAGCAGTACTATTAAATTACCTTTCTGTGGAAACTATAGATATTTGGATGTTATTAAAAAAAGAAAAAAGGATATCCCACTGCAAAATTATTTAATGATTTTTTGAATTTATCATGAAAATACTGGACAATTTGGTGATGTTCATTTTGCATGGGACCTTAGAAGGATGACCCCTATAGAAATAAGTGTTGCATTATTAACCTATACTTTGTAAACAAGTGTCCTATACTGCAATTGGATTTTATGTTATTTGGCGTGTTCATAAAATAATACCAACTTGAATCAAGGAAAAGATGTTTTGTTTAAAATTTCAAATCTTAAAATTTTGGAAAAAGAACATGTTTGAACCAAATATGCAGTAATTTTGGTTTTTCCAGAAGAAATAAGAATAACCTTTTTAGGGCCACATTGAAAAATGGTCCTATATTGACGTCAACCCAACTGCCTGTCGGTCCATTCATCCGCTCCTCTGTCCGGCATCAACAATTACTTGTAAACGCTCTAGAGGCTAAAGTCATTACCAAATTTACTTAAAATGCACACTCAGTGCGTATTGATTTTCAAAAAATTATGATAATTACTGCCAGAGTTGTGGCCATTGAGCTCTTTAAAAAAATCTGTCGGATTATCAAGAAAACAAAATTAGCACCCGATTGACTTTAAATTTACAGTGATTACAGTGAAGCGTATTGATTTGCCTAGGTTTCTGTTAAATAGCACAGCTGAACTCGTGAGTCTATATGTTTTGTATAGAGGTACTAAATGTTAGGATGGGACATAAATAGAAGCCAAATAAATTCTAATGATTTCTGCTAATTCTAATTACTTTCTGGGTTGTTACTCTTATTTTATTGTGTTATACAATAATCCTTCTTCACTGCTTGGACGACTTATCGGCTTTGGGTATATGTTTTATTGACTGGCAAAGTATCTTTTTACATTTTGTCAAAAATAACAGAAACTCAAACTGGTGTGGTCTAAGTGCGTTTAAGCGTCATTTGCAACAAGTGACCAAAAAGAACGAGGCTAGAAATATTCAACCGGAGAACCTGCTCAATAGACTGGAATAACCAGACGCTAGAAATTGCTATAGGGTTGAGACACATGCCGTATTTCGCTAGACATAACTGATTTGAAATTAAGAGTCAAAATGGAAACAATTGAATGTAAATCAGTTTATATACAATCAGATTACATTATAATATGCGTTGCGACCCATTTGGGCCAATTTCTAGGTCCCAAATATTAGCGATTTAGCTCCTTTAAGTGTTGCATTTGCAACAAGTGACCAAAAAGAACAAGGCTAGAAATATTCAACCGGAGAACCTGCTCAATAGACTGGAATAACCAGACGCTAGAAATTGCTATAGGGTTGAGACACATGCCGTATTTCGCTAGACATAACTGATTTGAAATTAAGAGTCAAAATGGAAACAATTGAATGTAAATCAGTTTATATACAATCAGATTACATTATAATATGCGTTGCGACCCATTTGGGCCAATTTCTAGGTCCCAAATATTAGCGATTTAGCTCCTTTAAGTGTTGCATTTGAGCAAATAAGCAGATAACGCCTTTAGAAGCAAGGAATTATCAACATGGCGTATTATATGTTCAATACCTTGTTTAATCCTTAAAACTAGAAAGTTCTTATTGAGAACATTAGTTAAGGTAGACGTGTTGCTTTAATTATATAAAACAACCTTTAAAAAAAGACATTATGACATTAAAATCCTGTAAAGACTCGCTGTAATCAGTAACAAATTACACAAGTGGAGAAGTTATTCTGTAATATTATGGTGGACGTGTTGCTTTAATATTGTGTGATTAGCCAGATATGCAGCATTTGAAATTTCAAGGCATTCACAAGGAAAATGAATTTAAAATGGTCCTTATAATCAAATTATATGGGGAAGAACTGACAAAAAACTCACCATTCCTATTCATTCCTATTCATACCAATGTGCAACTTTAAAATCCTGTAAAGACTCGCTGTAATCAGTAACAAATTACAGAAGTGGAGAAGTTATTCTGTAATATTATGGTGGACGTGTTGCTTTAATATTGTGTGATTAGCCAGATATCCAATAATTGAAATTTCAAGGCATTCACAAGGAAAATGACCTTAAAATGGTCCTTATAATCAAATTATATGGGGAAGAACTGACAAAAATCTCACCATTCCTATTCATTCCTATTCATACCAATGTGCAACTTTAAAATCCTGTAAAGACTTGCTGTAATCAGTAACAAATTACAGAAGTGGAGAAGTTATTCTCTAATATTATGGTGGACGTTGTGTTAATATTGTGTGATTAGCCAGATATGCAGCAATTGAAATATCAAGGCATTCACAAGGAAAATGATTTTAAAATGTTTTTTTTATAGTCAAATGATATGAAAACAAACACCAGAACATTAATACATTCCTTTTCAAATAAAACATGTGACTATGTGTGGATGTAAACTTCCCCCAAACAAAGGAATGGTATATCGACAATGGTAGCTGTCCTTAAAACTAAATAGCATACCTTAAGCAACAGTGGCAGCTATGCAAATCAAAATTATGGCATATTAAGTCAGTAAAATGACATTTTTGGCAAAGTGGTGAGTGTTGTGCACAGGCAGGGTATGCTCACTCTTTCTAGAACACCAGATATCACTATTACACAAACTCTGTTAGAGGGTTTACAAATTTACATTGTACCAGTAGTGTACAAACAACCATTTTTGAATGGATATTATTCATGTATGTGCAATTAAGTCATTATCTACTTCAGTGAAGCAAACCATGAATAAAGCATTCCTCTTTAATGTAGCAACGGGTGCCGTGCACATGCCAGAGGGCTCTAGAACACCTGATACCACTTTCCATTGGAAAGTTGCTCATAAACCTTTGAATAATAGCGCCTAACAGGCAGCTGTGTTTAATTATGTTCTCCTGATTTTGATTGTTTCTGTGTGTTTGAAGTATATGTTTGTGATATGCGCTTAGAAACACTTCACGTGTAATGAAGCGCTATATAAATCGAACAATAATAATAATAATTAATTTGAATACTTTAGACATGATACATTGAAGCATGTACCTGTACATGTATGTCAATGTTTCATTATATAATTTATGCATGTGTTTGATTCAAAAATTGAATTGAAAAATATGTCTTTATGTTATTTTTCAGAAATGATGGAATACTTGTCTAATGTCAGGAACTAAAATGTGATTTGGGATATGTTTACTAGAATAACAGGTGGGTGTAACAAATATTTGTAAACAATGTGGTAGGGTGACCCACCATAAATAAATATCTCCATATATCTCGACAATTTCGCCACAATATTTATATATATGCCAAGCCTCAAATCAGTTTCACACAATTATAGTCACTAAATAAACGATCATGTTGTACTTAATAAGCTATGACCATTAATCATCTATAAATAATAGACTGAAAACTGGTTCCATGTGTCGTCCATAACATCCAGACACTTTGGAGTAAAAGATAGGTTACGTGCCCTTGTTTTGAAATTAGTCTCGCTTAACCAGTCTATCGACCATTCTAGGGCTGATTGACAGGTCGGGATAATCAAGACTACTTTTTTACGAAACATAACAGAAAGCTAGAACAAGAAATTGAATTTAGAAATGAGCACGTTAGCTAGCTCAACAATTGTTTTAAGAAGCTTGTAAAAGTAAAATGAAACTACTGCTAGTATCATGTTCCTGTCTAACCTGAGTGTTTCTGAGATATTATTTGTACTAAACCAAAAGATGCCGCTCTTAACGGTACAGTTAATGATAAAGCGATTTAAAAAATGAAACGAACGTAATTTCTAAATCTGCTGTAATAACCAAGAAGCTTAATTTCACTGCTATTCAAAATCGTCAACAATAATTTTTTTACGGCTGTAATAGTTGATAGATTTGTAGAGAATTGCACGTGCCATGGCTATTTATAGTATCATACTGTCAGAAAGTTGGCCTCGACACGGCGAATGTGCACGCTTCAGTGGTAGTCTCGAACTATCAGCGGTGGACTGTATTTCTGTAGGTGCGTGGGCCACCCTAAATGTGGATTATGCTATTTGAATTTGTACATTTATGTAGATGGATTGAGTCTTAGCAGACATACATGTACATATAGAGCCCTGTATTCATTTTATAATTTTAAAAAATGAATAAAAAAATAGTATAGAGTTATTATTATAATATATTTAATAATTTGATCTCATCTCAGAAATATGAAGGTCATTTGTAGTACAGTATGTTACATTCCATCAAACTAGTAGCTGCTTGTACCTCATATCAGTAGGTGCAATGTCAAAGCAATTTCTGTTCACTGTGCCACTAGTGGTACACCATACATCTGCAGTGAAAGTAGTCCATGAAACAAAATGGCCTTTTGAACCTGGAACTAAGTTAAGATAATTTTTTTTCAGATTTCAAGTCTTGATGGTTTGAGTTTGTTTATCTGGGCAACTTTTAGCCAGTTTAATTTTCCTGTATTTTGATTCATAAAGCTTGTAGCTGCGCAGTCCTGACTTAGGAATTTGCTTCAATATTTGGTAAATATTTTATTTAAAAGTCAATTTTTTAAATTTTTATCCATTTTTTTTTTGTTCTATATCATCTCAGGCACATGTAGATACCAACATATTTGCATTAAAGCTAGTGTAAATGCCTTTTTGGGAACCTCCCATTTCAGGTGTTGTGACAAAATGGTGTCACTTTACCTTGCCCTTAAGCCAACCGAGGGAGGCATTAGACTGTTTTGGAATGCTGGCCACTATGAAGAATTTCGGCGGGTAGCCCATATTTTCTATAAAGGCCTAAAGAAACAGGGGCAGCTCGAGTTAGAAAAAAAAGATCTTACCGACAGAACCAATAAAGTAATTGAATCAACCACACTTAAAGTATACTCAGTTAAAAGAAAAGGTAGCTTCAGATATACAGTGAATATGTTTCACACAACATCATCCGCACTAAACAAAGCTGTTCAACACAACCTATCCACTGGTAGTAGGGCTGACCTTAAAAATATCTTTGTTTCGCCTAACGCGACCGACTAACTAAAACCACCCCCGACTTTATTTTATTGCCCTTTTCCGCTATCTTTTTATTTTATTTTGTGTGTCAACCTGAAATATATCATGAGAGTTATTTCCCTTTACTATGGCTATGGTTTGATTCATTATTGAAACTGGTTGATCAAGACGAAAGCGTCATAGGTGTCGCTTCTCAACAAAATGGTTGCAGACGAAAGCACGTCCATTCCCACGAAATGATTCTGCCTCTATGTCTGTGGGGCGTCGTTTTAAACATGACGAAGATATTTTCAATATCCGTTTTCGAGAAAAATGAAGGCACAACCCGCACGATCGTTAAATACGTGTTGAAGGGGTTTCACACTTAGAGTTCGTGGCAAATTGTGTGCGAATCTCTGAGTCGTGCATCACGAAAAATCCCGATGTCATACTCATTGATTTGTTTGACAATAAAAAAAGACGAATGTTTCCCCCTCCAGAAAATTATCAAGCTGTCAAATTAGCTCTTTTAAAAAAAATCTGAAAAAAAAACCCGACCTACCGACCCTTCTCCTCGATTGTGGGTCGGGTTTGGCGAAACACAGATATTTTTAAGGTCAGCCTAGTAGGCCTACGATCAACCCAAAGAAAACCCATTCCAAATCACCAGTGCACAATTGCTTAGATAATCTTTCTACAAAGACAGTTGCTTTACAACATAAACCACACTCTACTCCCATTACATCAACGAAAGACCAACAAACTGATACTAACCCAAGTAAGTTTTCAGTCTCCCTATCACGTAAAAGACCAGTAGATAGTCCTACAGAGACCAGTACCACCAATAATAGCCCAGCCCTGTGTATTGATGCTGTGACCCTAGGAGAACCATCGTTGGAAAATGAAAATGTCACACCAAAATTACTATATAAGCCGATACCAAAAGCAAGAAGATTAAGGCTTACATCTACGGTGAGTGTTAATACCACCATTTTCCTCTCGAGTAAGTTAAAAACCAATTCTGGCAGTATGGTAAACTCCACTCAACTTACTAATTTACAGCTAACTGTAACCAACCTGGAGTCAGACATCTTGAGGTTAAAAAAAGAACTAAGGGAGAAGACAGATAAAATTACGGCCATGAATATAGAAGGTGTCTCTTTAAAAGAGCGACTGTTCAAACTTGATGATGATAACAAAACTTTTGCTGCTGCTTTTGATGCCCTCACTCTAGAAAATGAAAATCTGAAACTGGAAAATCAAGCATATAAGGAAAGCAACAAAACCATCAATCAACGCAATACCATCAATCAACGCAATACCCCATGTAGTACCGACAGCCAGTCAAACTTTCAACCAGAGACCAGTCACAGCAGACCGATAAATCAATTAACGTCAAGGTGCTAGAGCCGTGTTCAAATGTCATCATTGGATCCTCAATACTGAAGAAAATATATTTCCGCAGGCTTGACAGAAGTGGTAATACTGCAGTTAGGGCAATATCGGGTGGTAAGATAACTGATGCTACAAGCCTACTTCAAAGATGTTCCCCGTGTAGTGAAGTTAAGAAATTAATCTATCTTATCGGTTCCAACAACGTATCACATAATATGGACTTGTGCAGCTGCCAAAACGACTACAGACAGCTGATAGAAACAAGTAGGTCAAAATATCCTAATCCCGAAATCAATTTCATGAAGTTACTGCCTAGGAGATCTTCAACTTTTAATGAGCAGTTAAAGTTACTTAATTCAACACTTGAAGAGACATGCATTGAGACAAACTGTATCTTTTTATCAACGCATTTTACATGTTTTGCAAATAACAACACAACAAAAGAATATCTATATGAAGATGAAGCACATTTAAATAACAAAGGCTCTGCAAAACTAGCTACACATCTTAAAACTGCTCTAAACCTTGAAACCAGAATAATAGAGAAATATGATAACCAAAGACCGCATCAACCACGTTCAAAACGTAATGCAGGAAATAACATAGGTACAGTCCAACCACAAAGTCTTCAACAATTACCATATTGGTTACCCCCTTTGTTCCCAGACATGCGGTTTCCACCCCCTGGGTTTTCCCCGTCTTTTAATAATACCCGAACCTACAGATACGGATCGCCGGTAAAGAATGCAGCTTGGGGTAAATCTTATCTTCAAACAGCTATTTGAGGTTTTCTGTGTACATGTGAAATCTGTGATTATAATAATTCCATCCATTCATGTTCAGCTATGTGGTGTTTTACTTTAATGCAAAGCTGTGTGTCCATGCTCAATCTTAAGTTTATTTATGTTTATCTACATGTGCATTTGTATGTACAGCTACATGTATTAGATGTGTCCTTATAATATTAGTGCTTTTATGAGTTTATTATTTATGGTTATCTACATGTGCATTTGTATGGACAGCTATTAGATGTGTCCTTATAATATTAGTGCTTTTATGAGTCTATTATTTATGGTTTTAATCTACATGGGCATTTGTATGTAAAGCTATTAGATGTGTCCTTATAATATTAGTGCTTTTATGTGATATGCCCAGGCACAATCTGTGTTTTCTTTAATATGTGCTAATAAGTAGTAAATATTGCAAAATGTGAAATGAATTGAAGATTCAATACATGTCAAATGAACTCTGGCTGCAGCTTACATGTATTGTATCCGACATGCATCAGGTAGTGCTAGCTGCTCCAGACAAAAAAATAGGATACTGCATTTAAGTAAACTGTGATATAATTAATTATTTTCACCCCCCCCCCCCCATGTAGGCATACTGTTGATCTGTTTATGTAATGAACACAATCATGATATTCTGTTGAAAATACATATTTATAGATGTATATTACTAATTCATAATCTCTAGCAAAGGAATGTATTACATGTATGCCTTAACCTTTTAAGGAGTTAAGTGTAAACTGCCATGGTTCTGTATCATGTACATGTATGATACACAAACGGTATAGTACAATGTAAACGTATATAAATAAATGCAGTGTAAATCAATCATTTTATTTCACCAGCCTCATTATATTATAATTCCCACTTAGCATGTTTTGTACATAATTGTTTTCCACTCGTGATATTTATAGGTTTTTGTATTTGTAAGTTTTTTGTAGTTTGTACGTTTTCACTCTCATTACTTTAGTGTCTAGTTATTTGTGCTAGAGGTTGTTTTTTAAACAGCCATTTTCTGTCTAACTTATTGTGTTAATCTTGTTCAATTGTTTTACATCAAGTACTTGTGTGGGTACATATATTTCATTTTTGGTTTCCCATGCTTTGTATTTATGGTCTGTCTTTTTGTAAAATATCTATATTTGTGTAACTTAAAGGACTGCCATCAGGCTTTAACCCATATGCATGCTGTAACTTTAAGATATATATGTACTGGAGTGAATGCATCTAGGCCTCTCTTAAGTTATCAACCTATTGTTTTGTTTTGCAAATAGCTTTAGTATAGTTCGAGTTATTTCCCCTTGATGTTTAACTTCTTAAAACAAAGAGGAATTCACTGCGGTCACCTAAATGTTTGTCACATAATTAATAAGCTTGATGAACTTAAAGAGTTAATCAGAAATTTTGATATATTTGGTTTTTCTGAAACCCATTTGAATGCCTCTGTGAATGATGAATACATTAGTATTCCTGGCTTCCATGCACCGTTTTGTAAAGACGGCTGTAGCAATAGTTCATCAGGTACGCTTTTATATGTTAGAGATACGCTCAATTGTATTAGAAGAAACAATCTTGAACACCCCGATATAGAGTCAATCTGGCTTGAAATAAAACTGAAAAATACGACCCTTATTTTCCTATGCTGCGTTTATCGCAATCCGGCCTCGCGCTGTAACTGGCTTGAAAACTTTAAACAAATGATTGAACTACCTTGGAACTCTGGGTCTGAAATAATAATGTTTGGTGATTTGAATATTGATATTTTAAATCATAATAATTGCTACTGGCTAGATGTACTGGATTTATATAACCTCAAACAAATTATTACTTCTCCGACAAGAGTCACAAGTCACTCATCTACCTTATTTGATTATGTCATCGTGTCCTCACCTAATAATATTATTGAAACTAGTGTTCCTTCATATTCCATATCGGATCATTATCCAACATGTTTTACATGGAACAAAAAGGGCATAAAAATCCCCAAAACTAATCATATTTATATTACATATCGATCTTTTAAATATTTTTCTGAACCTGATTATATAAATGATTTACAACTCGCCCCATTTGATAATGTTTATAGCACAAATGATCCCAATAAAGCCCTGGAGTTATGGTATAATACTATAATTCCGGTTATAAATAAACATGCTCCACAGAAAACCAAACGTGTTAGGAATGCTACGAAGCAGCCCTGGCTTAAAGAAATTTTTAATATGATGCGTCAACGCGATTACCATAAAAAGAAGGGAAATATTACTCAAGTCTAAAATGTATAGAAATTTGTTAAAGAGTATGATTCGGAGAGCAAAAGCTATATATTTTCAAAGTCTTGTCTCTAATAATAAAAATTCTAAAACTATATGGAATGCCATAAACACAACTTTAAATAGAAACAATAATAATTCACAAACAATCCCCATTGATTCGGAAGATTTTAATACTTATTTTACAGAAATTGCCAGTAATTTACTCGGTAGTAGTACAGCAATTGATAATATCGATAGGACAAAAATTTCTGACTTTGTTAATAATCATGTGCCTTGCTCAAGCAACAGAAGTTAATAAGTCCCTAAAAGCTCTAGATATCACAAAAGCCGTTGGACTAGACTCGGTTAATGCCCTATTTCTTCAAAAAGGTGCACACATAATCTCTGAAAGCCTAACCTATATTTATAATATTTGTATTGATCAGAATGTTTTCCCTACTGTTTTAAAAACTGCTAAAGTTTTACCTTGGGGACACATCAACTGATTTCTACAATACAGAAATGTGGAAGCTTACATATTAACGGCAACGAAGCCTAATTGCGTCGAAGTGGGTGACATTGAACAGTGTAGTATGGTAGCTACAGCTCTCGGGCACCGTCAGCTGCACCTTCAGGGCCAGATTTAGAATAAGAGAGGCCCTAGGCAAACCCCCTGAACAGGGCTCACGACATGGACCTTGGGGCCCTGGGACAAGCAACTCGGTGAGAGGGTGGGTCGGGGGAAGTCATGCGGTTGGTGATTCGAATCTCACTTTTAGGTGAATTTTTCATTTTCGTTGGATTATTTTATTTAAAATAATGACTATTTGAGAGTAATGGATATGTTTGTTAAGATTGAGCACGTCGAAACTCCAATGGAAGGTCGTGGACAACTGCCGAAGTCAATTCCCGTTGACGCCAGATGAGCCATGAACGATTACAGGCCTTTGAAAGTATTTTTTTTCAAGATATTTTTATAAAACAGATACTAATGTATTTTAGGGCTGGTAGTAAACACCATATGAATGAAAAGGAAATAAATTGTTAGTTTTTTTTTTTATCTACTACGGTTAATTATCTCCAAAATAGGGAAATTACAGGTTAATTTCATGGGTTATTGTTTCCTTTACCTAGTTTTTGTCAAGTCGATTCCGGTCATTTTTATTTTTTATATCAAATGTTTGGAGGTTGCTTGTTCACGTGAGCATAAATTTTTTAAACCCACCCCATGAAAGAAGTAGCTATAGGGCGTCAAACTTTGGGTGACGAAAAATGGGGAATTTAGACAGGCTTTGATATCCAGTCCGTATACAGATCTCGTTCGCCAGAATCGTCTGAAGTTAATATTGTGGTAACAGCACTGAGTCATCGATAAACTGTGTGAGTTTGGTCTTTCTGCTACGTATAGTAAAGGTGTAAGGACTTGCCAAAGTTGGTGTTTGAGAAAAGACAGATTTTGGCAATTTCACCATATGAAAAATGTTTTTTCAATTTTCTCATACAGGAATTGAAAGATTTATCTAATATTGCACATTTATGTGTTTTGGGACTATCCCAACTTATAAACCAAATTTGGTCAAAATCTGTGATTGAAGCCTTAGCACCTTCTGCATGGTTTTCTCGCAGACACGCTCTTAATATTCTTTTGTAAATATTGCTCTTCTGTTTTCAAATTTCATTGTTCACTTCTTTAACTTCTGTTATAAAGGGCAAAATGTAAGACAGGCCTCCTGGCCTAATTTTCAACCCTTTGAAAATAAAGTTATTATTATTATTATTATTAATTAGTATTAGTAGGCCGAGATCATGACCAGTGCTTGAAATGAGGATTCTTCTACAACGGCACCAAAAAATTATAAATGCCGTAGCAAAAATTAGCTGACAAGGCACGGCTGCCTTTTTTCATATTGAACAAATATACTGTAACAGTTGTCATTTTCCGTCACTGAACGTGCAATTTTTATATTTGTAGATAGACAAACGGTCCGTGCAATGATTTTCCGTGTCAATTAATCTGGTTCTAATTGCGTTTGGTTGTACGGTCATAAGTATAAAATTTACAGATTCCTCTTGGAGTAATAAAGTCATCGACATTTGTTTTCCTTTCGATCCTTTAGTTATTCGTGTTCCCAATGGTTGCCATCATGTCAACCATAACTAAAATTGATTCATCAAATTTCCCACGGCTCTGCCATAACCTTCTATAATAAGGGCACTATTTTAGAAAGTGAGCATTCTTATGAAAAAAATGAACTATAAGGATAGGCTTGGGACACTATTTTCAACTAAATCTTGCATTCCTGAATTATTGACCTAATCCCAAGCCCAGCCGCCCCTGAACGACTGTATGATATATTGAAAAGTTATTACCTATGCATTTCATACGTCTACATGTATATAAAAGGCATAATTTTTTGATACGTGTACACGTGGACAACAGCGCAATTTGGGCTATTTTTATTACCGTGGCAGTCCGTGTTTGCTTCATCTTTTAATTTTTACGACAGTTTTGCCGTTATGCCGTGGTAAATTCTAGCATAGGCGGTATGATTGAGATTATAATTTATAAAATGTTATTAAATGTTCATTACAATATAAATCCTTAAATTTGTCGGCGTTCGTAGAATGTTTCATCGCTACCACTTGATTATGATAGCTTCTGTCTTGTCAGTGTCACGTGACATTTTCCCCGCTTTTCTATCGATAGAGTTGAAAAGATCTAATAAAGCATTGAGTCTTGTATCACACACACGGCAAATAAATAATAGGGCCGAGTGCCATTTTAAGTAAGAGACGTGAGAGAATGCTTTGTTCACCATTTGAATAATATTTTATGAAAAGATTTATTGGCTGCCGAGTCATTTTGAACAGATATCGGCTACAGAAATATCGGTAAAATTTCTTCTGATAGGCCACTCATCGGCCAATTAGGCTACTGAATAGTGAAACCGATAATCGGACCATCACTAAAAATAAATTTAAAATGATCGCCTTCAAATTATAGTCTCATGATTTCGATTCGTTTAAAGAATTCCGTTCGTAATATGCACCATGCCAGATTTCAACTTACGCCAATGTAGGTCATTTCCTGTTTCACCATAGAACTGTGGTTTCACTGTGCTGTTTTGTTGGTTGTAGACGAAGATTTTTGTGAAATCTCTTAAAATAGACAGCAAAAAATATTTTTTCGGAACATAGATGGATATGATATGTAAGTTTAATGTGTTAGCAGTGCAGATAACTGAAAATTGTGAATTTTGCCGTCCGCTGAAAGAAGTAAACTAGTTATCCACTTTTGCGACGAATTTTTGACCCGGGATGTAGTCATAACGGACCTATGCCATAACGGCCAAAAACAGGTTTGGTCAAAACGGCCATATTTTAGACATAACGGCCAAACAGTTTGGTCATAACGGCCAAAAGATTTGGTCATAACGGCCAAACATTGTAATTTAATGAAAAACAATATGATAATATTATGGACAGGTTGATTTAAGAGAATTATTTACATTTAATGGGTTGAAAATTGGTAAAAACATACAATACAAACATCTGTTTATATCAAAAGTCTCCATAGTGGTCATAACGGTCATAACGGCCAAAAGATTTGGTCATAACGGCCAAACATTGTAATTTAATGAAAAACAATATGATAATATTATGGACAGGTTGATTTAAGAGAATTATTTACATTTAATGGGTTGAAAATTGGTAAAAACATACAATACAAACATCTGTTTATATCAAAAGTCTCCATAGTGGTTAACACACAAAATACAAAGTCCTTGTATAAAGCATACTTATAAAATCGCTGATGTTGGCTCACTGATGTTGGCCGCCATCAATGCGGATAGAAAAAAAAACGTAGATTTCATAAGCCATTTCATAATCTCCCTTGATCACTTTGAAAAATCTTGTGAGACTCTAGATTGACTTCAAATTGATACACAGAGTTTAGGTCTTGAGATGAACAAGTATATTGATTTTCAATGAATTTTGATAACTGAACAGCTAAATCCATGATATAAAATGTTTTGTGTATACTAAATGTTAGCATGATGGGGCAGAACTTTATAAAAACAAAATGGTTTTCTGATAATTACTTTATGAGTTGTTACTCTTAATCAGATTTTAGTGTATTATAAATGTTTCATTATCGAAAAAAGTAAAAATATGCGGTCTGAGCAAATATTACTTATCTTTGATAAAATAACAATTGACTTTTATCATTTGACAAAAATAACAATTCACTCTTCAGACAAAGGAAAGAGGTGAGTACTAATTAATCAACTGATTGAATAATACCTAATTAGGTACTTCACACCCTCTGATGAGTGATTAGGTAATAAAGGTAAGACTTATTTTGTGTTTATAACAATTTTCAAGTGTAAATAATTTAATTAAACCATCCTGTATTGGACGTTAAATCTTTAATAAACAACAACAACCAATCCATTCAGTTTGGGTTTTTTTCATGTATTAAATTAATGTTTAGCTAATGTATGTATTTATAGTATCTGTTAGGCAATATTTGTGTGAATAAATATCATTTCCTGCATGTAAAAAATTGTTTATATTTTCTTGGCGGTTATGACCAAATTGTTTGGCCGTTTCGACTAAATATTTTGGCCGTTTCGACCAAATCTTTTGGCCGTTATGGTTTAGGGCCATTATGTCTATAACCCTTTGACCCTTCGGATGTTAGATGTTACGTCCTCAGAATATCAAAGAGTAACACCTAACTTGTTGGATTACACACACGGGTAATCCCATATGGACACTATATTGGCCCCAAATGTACAAAAACAGAGTTGTTAATGTGGGAAATCCCATATAGATCCCATATTGGCCCCAGATACACACACTATACGGTCAGATTATCAATGTAAAAAAGAAGTAACCATTATATCATTTGGCTTGTATAATAATATATAAAGTGTATTTGCGTACATTTGTATGTGGTAAGATAATATGGGTCCTATATGGGGACCTTGTGGTATCACCTGGGCCCACAGCCCATTTTTTCCCCATATGGTCCCCATGTGGCAATGTTTATGGGGGGACAGAGAACAAGCTCAAAAAAAGAAGTGATTTTTCGTACAATCAGGGGCAATATTTCAGGAAGAAACGATTCGATATGCACGAATATCGAAAGTAACCGAGATCTTTGGGTTATAAACTTACATTTCAAGTTCCATCAAAATCAGAAGAAAATTGTGACCTTTAGAGAGTCCACCACCTTTGATATATCATATTTTTACGCTACTTGGGAACGATTTTCACGAAAATTGAACTCAACCATCCTTAGGGTATAACGGTGATATATTAAAACGTTTTTTTAAATCGAATAAAAATTATGACCTCTATATAGGGTCCACAAGTTAAAAACGCGATTTTTCGTACAATAGGGGCCATAATTCAGGAAGTTACGGTCCGATATACGCGAATATCGAAAGGAACCAAGATCTTTAGGTTATAACTCAACCATCCTTACGGTATAACGGTGAAAATGTGGGCGTATAAAAATTACATAAAATCATTAATTATGAAACTATATAATATGGTATATACAATATAAAAACAATTTAATGAATTATCTCGACTTAAAATAAATTAATAAAAATTTGACCAATTTTAAGAATAAAGAAGAACATCAGCAATAATATCAGAAAAACAATAAGAAACAATCCAACAATGAGAATGATGCCCCCATCCCCCTAATCGCAAACACAAAATAAATAAATTGCACTCTTAAACATACATTATGCAAGAGCTAAATCTGCCTATTGCAGGCCTTTCTTTAGGCCTGAAATGTTATCTAAATTATTAATTACACATTAATTAACTTATCCAGACCATAATCAACTCTCGATGTCATCGCTAGCCTGCGATGTTTATTGGATTAGGTTCCGATGTTTATTGGATTAGGTTCCGATATGTTCGAATTCCATTCATGATTTAATCAAGAAATGGATAATCAAGACTATGTTTTTTACCATACCGACTTTAGTAATGATGATCGAGGCTAGGCCGAAAATTCAATCGCTAACATCTTGGTTCAGAGTGGATCAATTTGACTGAAATTTTCAACAAATTCCCTTTACATTATCTAGTTTTTAACTATTATAGTGAGAACTGCCAGTTCTTTATCCAGTCTCCCATAATGGATCTTTAATTACTTGCATAGTTATATTTCATAAAGAATCAAGTAATTCATATACTGTTTATTACACTGCTTAACCTGAGCAGAAAATATCTGCCGAAGTTTAAATAATATCCACCACATTATATCTACTCTGTGATGTGTAAATTATCCTAAAATATCACCAGTGTTTTTACCAATCCACGTTAAATATTTATATCAAATTAATTAAATACACTTTAAGGCATTCCACTTCAAGCTATGCAAACCAATAGAATGGAATAGTAAACAAGCAATTTATTGATATATAACAAAAACAAGCCAACAGAATAAAATACAAGCAATTTATTTATATATAACAACAACAGTAGGGCTAATGTCCTTAATATCCCAAAAATATATTGATGACAAAGTTAACATTAATTACTTGTTCAGTTATTGTTTTATCATTTCTAGGCCAATCACTTGATCAGGGAATACTCATTTTAGAACATAGTCAAACTATCCTTAAAGTTATCATGTTGAAAAGCATCAAAAAATCAATTGATTACCTGTCCTTAGACATAGTAGAAAATACTTATAACAATTATACCAAGTTTGAATGTTCTACTTCAATTAAAAGCAGAGTGGCAGACAAACCCATTTTAATACCCCCCTGCTTTCATGAAAGGCTGGCGGAGGACAATTATACTTAGTACAGGCTTCACACTGTGGGATTCATAGATACGATTTACATTTTATTTACTGTTTTCATTTTCAGACATACACAACAGACAATACAGATACTGTACATAATAAATCAAAATGGGTAACACAAAATCATGTGTATGGGGGTTTCTGGAATGGAAGCACATACTATATCAGTGATACCTAGCTAATCATACAGTTTGTGTTCACCTGTATCAATTTATCCCCTTAAGGAACACACAGATCTTTTCAGAGAGGTTCAACATTGTTCAGTATTAAATTCAACAATGTATGTAAAGATATATTATAAATAATAACAAAACCAACAAATCAAAAGTAAAGATGTCTGTGTATATATATGAAAAAATAATGATATTTTAATACATTGATGTATGATGTGGGTTATATTTTCAAAGCTCAAAAGAAGCTGGTTCTGTTTTACATTTGGAATTGGAATGTTTACCAATTGCTCTAAAAACAAATAATAACTTTCTTCATGTGTTTTCATAGATCACTGAAACAAAACAAAATAAAGTCCATTATTTAACTGTTCAAAAATATTAATTTAAAAGGTTATCCTGTGGATATACTCTCTCTGCTTGGGTCGTCTTTATTTAAGCAGAAGTTGTATCTATTGAAAAGTTTGTGCAATAAATAAAATTCTTCAAGAATAAATTAACATTTTGGTATCTTTTCCCCCAGATTCAATATGATTATTATTTTTAAAGAAGAAGCCATCCAGAATAGGGCATTTCATTATGCAATGTACCAACCATCATTCTCATATATATTTTCGTTGAGAGATTCTTCATCTTCTGTGTCATCCATTAAAGCATCTCGTATACAGTCATGTATGTACACATACTGGTTCTGTAACAAATACATAAAGTAATACAGAAGAAACATCAGGACAAAGTGTAGATACAGGAATTTTGCAGGTAAGAGAAGTAACCCAATCTGTGCACTTGTGGATTTTTCCCTTGCCCCCTCACCGAGACCCTCAAACACTCACTAGACAAAGGGCTATTAGCCATCGGATTGACATTCGGTCCGATTTTCACAGAATTCGAACTCAACCATGATAATTATGGTGAAAAGGTGATGGGTTGCTTGCCAGGCAACAAAATATACGCCAACAGCAGCTATGTCATCCAAGCAAACAAATATGAACGAATGCACGAACAAACAGCATATGTTCACTTGAAAATGTTTGCCTATAAAAAAAAGGGTGTTGTAGTGGGGACGGGGGCACTCTGGTTCACCCTGACCTACCCTTCGATCCATTCTTGATGCAGTAATTATGCAAATTTTTGTCTACCTTCAATCAGTCATAGTAATGTCCAGATTCTTAATCTCTATAGATCGTAATGGCTTAAAATTCTTTGGTTTTACACCATCTGATTTCTAACCTATAAATAAAGCATATCTAGCAGCCAAAAACCTTTTTACACAAAATCTGGTCATAGGTTTAAGATTTATATCCTCCTGCCAGAATCCCTAAATATGCTTCAAATGATCCAACTAATGCAGTAAGAAAAACAATAGGCAACACCAAAGTTTATAAATACCTCAGTTTGCACCATAAGTGGTCTATTTTCTCTCATTTCTAACACCAGATCAAATATATCTACTTCATCTGAATCACGAATCTTTTGTAACAAAACATCTACAGCCACAAATGTTCCTGTTCTACCTACTCCAGCACTATAAAATAATTCTGTATCATAAATCATAAATTCTAATATTCTACAAATTGTAAATACAGGTTCTATAGTTTGGATTATGAATTCTAAATTACAAAATCTAGAAGCTGAATCTGAAATTCTAAAATCCAGAATACAAATCATGATACTACTAGAATATGGATTATAATATTTAGAGCCTTGAAAGTGTTGAAATTTTAAAATTTAGGATACAAATTCTAAAATTTGGTATACAAATTCTAAAATTTAGTTTACAAATTCTAAAATTTAGGATACAAATTCTAAAATGTTAGATTCTGAATACAGATTTTTAAATTAAATTCTGAATACAGATTTTTAAATTAAATTCTGAATACAGATTTTTAAATTAAATTCTAAAATATAGATTTTTAAATTAAATTCTAAAATATAGATTTTTAAATTAAATTCTAAAATATAGATTTTTGAATTCTAAAAGGTTGTAAGTCCAATTGTCTAGTTGATAAAATGCCATGAGTGTCCTACCTGCAATGAACCAACATTGGTCCATTAGGAGTATTTGGAATATGTGCCCGCACTGCAGTAACAAAATTTAAAAGAAGCCATGTCTTTTCAGGACAACCAAAGTCTGGCCATTTCAAGAAGTGGAATTGTTTTACAGTTCGTTTCTTAATGCCCTGTAAAAATAAAAAAAAACTGGTGTGTTCAAAAAGCCTACAGTGACAAATACAAGTTTAATTTTATTTCTTTTAGTTTTATTACTGGTAATAATAAATTGAAATGTTATGTTCATATTAATGGTAAATAAAATGAATGCTTTGAAAATTTTTTTAACTTACCAGCTGAACATCTATTATACGAATGACATAATCTGGTAATACAGACTCTGATCTCATTCTCACAATCAAATCTCCAAAATAAATTGGTTCATTAGTCTCTGGCCAATATCTTTCACATTTAGTCTATAAAATAATGCATAAAAATAGAGAAATTAAAGATCGGTTCCCAGAAAAGTATTTATCGGGTGGTTATTTCCAATAAAAGTATGGTAATTTTGGTATATATGGAAAGTAGAGATATCCAATCTTACTAGAAAAATACTGGATTCCCTGAAAAACACTCATGGAGCGTATACAGGACAAAAATGTAAGGGTTCCCCTAATCGACAGCCCAACGATTAGAAATTTCTGCAAGCGTGATGTCAAAGGTCACACGCGAACATTGTGTGCTTGATGTACAAGTTGATAAACTTTATGAAGAGTTAGACGTACAACACTTTCTGAGATAAAAATGACAGAAAAAGACGTGGGTAGTGGATAATCGGAGAATTTAATTAGGATTCGATATTTGTAATAAATAGTAAGCGATTAAAAACAACATCGTCTTATGTATCCAAGAGAGATAAGTCATGTGACGTAAACATGACCTGGTTTGATCAAATTTTTATAGCAGGAATTCCTTCGCAATTACAATGTTTGAGAAGGATTTGAAGCAAAATTATGACAAATTAATTAGTTTGAATATGTTTTTAGTCCATATATACCATTAAATCACCCAGTTTGTACGCGGGAACCCATCTTTAAATGGGGTTTAACATCCTACTTTTCTACACCAACTATGATAATGTTGACAGGATAAATAGAGAGAAACACGATAAAACCTCAATTTGACCAAATCACCAGTTTCATGCAGTATTAAACAAAATATATAATACAAAAGTAAAGAAAGAGAGAGAGAGATTTGGGTTTAACATCCACTCAACACAAACTAGGTCATTTTGCCCACAAAGTTGGACGGGGGACTCCTTGCAATTGTCACGTACAAGCTGGGAATCGAAACCACACCAGTCTACTCAATGAAAGACACTTTTATCTAAAGCGTATGCGTAAGATCATATGGCTACCCAAACCCCCCAAAAGTAAAGAAAACAATGTTAAAACTTATATAGCATGAATTTAATATTCTTTCTCTTTTGTCTTACATTTTGTAGTTTCTACCTGAAGCAACAGGTAATTATTTCGATTGTTCCATAAACATGACCGATGCACAAGGAATATGTTCAGTGTTGAAATCTGTTGACAAATGATAACTTACAGTGTTTTTTTCTTTACATTGTGTTAACATAACAGCAACAGAAATATGATGTTCCCAGATCATTCTCCAAAAATCATCTAGTGTAGCTGGTAGTGGGCCTTGAGCTGCTATATATTCTCTTTTACTATTATAACCCTATAATTTATATTCAAAGACATAAGAATATTCTATAATTTATTTTCAAAGACATATAAATATACTGCAAATCGATATGAGTTTGTTAAAACAGATTATAAATGATGGAATTGATAAAACAGCTTCTTGCACAAGCTAAATAGTGCTCACTCATTCTATAAAATCTTATTGATGTTTGGAAATTTAATATTTTTAATAGGAATATATAAGTTAACCTAACTCTTCTGCTTTAAACCAGGCAATATAAGAGAATCTATGAATGTGGGGTAACAAAATGGTCAAAGTGGGCACCATCAATAGCTACTTCTAGTAAAACCAGCGGCTGCCAGGCAGGATACGCCCACATTCTTTGAGAGATGGATAGAGAACAAGCTAAAAAGAAAGTGATTTTTCCTACAATCAAGGGCCCTAATTCATGAAGTTACAATTCGATATGCGCAAATATCGAAAGGAACCGAGATCTTTGGGTTATAAACATGCATTTCGAATTTCATCAAAATCGGATTAAAACTGTGACCTCTACAGGGTCCACAACCTTGATAACCATATTTTTACACTATTCGCGAACAATAGCAGCCATTTTGTCCAACAGTTTTGGTCCAATTTTCAAGAAATTTGAAATCAACCTTTATTACGGTGTAACGGTGATATATTCAAACAGTTTTTAAAATTGGATAATAACTGTGACCTTCAGAGGAACCACAAGCTAAAAAAGGCTATTTTTCATATAATCAGAGGCCATAATTCAGGAAGTTACGATCCGATATGTGCAAATATCGAAAGGAACCAACATATTTGAGTTATAAACATGCATTTCAAGTTTCATCAAAATCGGATTAAAATTGTGACCTCTAAAGGGTCCACAACCTTGATATACCATAGTTTTACACTATTCGTGTACAAGCGGCGGCCGTTTTGTTCGGCAATTTTGGTCCGATGTTCATGAAATTCAAACTCAACCTTCAGTACATTGTAACGGTGATATAATCAAACGTTTTTTTAAATTGGGTAATAATTGTGACCTCCAGATGGACCACAAGCTAATAAAGTAGATTTTTCGCACAGTCAGGGGCCATAATTCAGGAAGTTACGATCTGATATGTGCAAATATCAACAGGAACCAAGATCTTTAGGTTATAAACATGCATTTCAAGTTTCATCAAAATCAAATTAAAATTGTGACCTCTACAGGGTCCACAACCTTGATATACCACATTTTTACACTATTCGCGTACAAGCGTCGGCCATTTTGTCTTGCAATTTTGGTCCGATTTTTATGAAATTCGAACTCAACCTTCATTACGGTGTAACAGTGATATAATCAACGGTTTTTTTAATCGGATAAAAATTGTGACCTCTGGAGAGACCACAAGCCAAAAACGCAATTTTTCGTACAATCAGGGGCCATAATTCAGGACAGACGGACAAACAGGGGCGACGACAATATACGTCCACATGAAAATGTGGGCGTATAAAAATGGTTGGTTACATTCTTATAATCCTCCAAAATAAAGTTTCTGTCTGACAAAGTCAGGACTAAGACATTAACTTTTCCAAGAATACAGTAGTGAGAATGCTAATTTTTAATGAAATTTTTAGAACTTACAGCCAGATAATTTGCATTAATGTATTCTGAACCTTCATCATCATCAACTGGTAGAAGTTTAACTCTAGTGTGATCAACTGTTATCAAATAAGATAATATTATTTTCTACTATATATTAACAAAATAAAACATTTTAATTTGTTTAATTAATTTCAGGATAACAAAGCTAGATTACCTCCTGGCTTGGATTAAATCTTATTGAAACTAAGCCCATCATCAGGTTTCTCCGCTACTAATAAAAGATGACGGTCTTAATAGAAATAGTCCGTACATTCCCTTGTTTATATTCATTCTATACCTTGTAAAAACATGGTAATGCACAGACTTTTTCTGTTTTTATTTCGTGTTCTTATCTAGTGGCAGTCAATTCTTTTTATGAATTGTCAGATATCCTCTCACAGTCTCACACAACAACTTTTGGTCTTTGAAGGAATTATTAGTGAGCAGAAATTCGGCCGTGTATCTGTTATCACTCGTCACATCAGTCAGTTATATAGAGGATCACTCGTGTTTTCCTTTGGCGATCGTCACTTCCGATTCAGGACGTACCGGTACCTGTATTACTCAGCTATCGTAGCAATGATCTCTGTGTTAAAATTATATTTGGAACGTGTTTAACCAGCTCTATCACATATGTGATAATGACTGACACCAATATTGTCCTTTAAATGATGCATCAAGTCCTTAAACAATGGCACAGCTAGAGTCCTGCTTGTTATGTTACAAAAATCTAGAAGTGAACTTAACAAATCACATTACTTACACGGCAATACATTAGTATATCTGTTTTTAATTCGACAGGATTCACGTTCCGCTGCTTTAGTGCTGTATTTAGGACTCAGACGTTTAATAACCTAAAACGAAATACAAGACTAATTTATTTACATCTGTTCCTGGTGTTTTGAAAGCATCCCTCAAAATTATGCTGTGTGTTTCTAAACAGAGCAGTCTTTAATAATATGTAAAGTAATAGTAATTGATATATTCATAATGGACATAATTCCAAAAAAAAGAGTATAATGGTTCTAACAAATCTTATTTCTAAACAATATACATGTATATAGCCCTGTTGAGAACATTTATAATGTTATTTTTAATGGTTTATATCAGTTAATGTTTATAATGTTGAAACAATTATGGAACTTACCTTATATTCTTCTGAAAATCCTATATTAGAATCTTGATGTAGTCTAGCAATATGATGTTCAAAATTACATAACTTTATTGGCCTGAAACATATAGACATATAATAATAACTTTTTTTTTTATTTGTTAACCTAACGGTATTATATGGGCTCTGCCATTTTATTTTTTAAGTCATACATGTAGATTTGTTTTTCTACCAAATGGTACAAGTCATAAAAAGCATCTGTATTGGTGCTAGTGTAGTTAGTTTAAGGTTATAACAAAATTACCTGTTACGATTAGCTTCCACAGAAAGTTCAACAGTTCCAGTCACAGTATGTTCCGGTTCCAGTCTTTTGACGAAGCGGCAAGTATGTCTGAGTGAAAAAAAATTACAATATTACCTATAAATAACATGGAATGTGTAAATAAGTAACTGTAAATGTTTTCTAACTCTACATGGTGCAAAAGGGGATATAGAAAATAAGGAACTCTCGACCAAAACTATTAAACTGTAACTGCAAAATGTAACAAAAGTAAAGAGGAGAATAAACAAATCCTGTCCACTATTCCCTCACTCCACAAAGAGATTGATTATGCTAAAGTAACAAAAAGGGATAAAATGTTAACAAGTCTCCAAGATCAATTACATATCTTTGAACAAAAATATGTTTTTTGGTTCCTTTTCAGGTTAAAGGTTTAAATTCAAGTTGATTAGATAATCAAAATAACACATCTGTGACAACTCTATCTGGTGCCAACAATTAACCATGTGTAATTATATCTAGAGATGCCCATCATACAGTACAGTGGAACTATTATAGCAAGAACGTCGGCTCTTTATCTAAATTTTATATAACGTGTCTTTAAAATGAGGTAGATATACATATGTTTATGGATATAGGATTATCCGATTAAAGGCAAGATAAACAAAGTGTACAACAAAATCAGTATAATTTTACTTATATACAATAACCGGAGGGGGGGGGGGGGGGGTATTATTGAAGGTGGAAATTGATTGACCATATTGAATTGTTTTCATACATATGTTTATGGATATAGGATTATCCGATTAAAGGCAAGATAAACAAAGTGTACAACAAAATCAGTATAATTCTACTCATATACAATAACCGGAGGGGGGTTATTATTGAACGTTGAAATTGATTGACCATATTGAATTGTTTTTTATTTTTTTCTCACCCAGCTTAGCAGAACACCACTCCCTTCATGTCTTCTTCCATGAACACTGAAGACATTGATTAGAAATTAATTAGAATATGAATAAAATAAAACTGTCTAACCTGTTTCTTATACGATATAGTATAAATCCTGCTATACCTATTATAATCAGTAACAAAGCTACCCCAATACATATTGTTAACAAGTTTGAACTTTCTTCCGCATCTACAAAAATAAAGAAACGAGGGAATGAAGTAATAAATAAGCAATCAAAATATATTTAATCATAGGCATAGGGGTATAATCTCAGAAAATTTTCTTTGTCACCCAAACTTTCAGAATGAATCAATCATTAACTAAAACAAGTTTTCCACTAATGTTATTGCGTGAGGTCTTAAGTATCATATTATTCAAAACGTAAATCGTAAACGATTTCACTTCACAATTATTTTCTATGATATATGGTCTGATTCTCTGAAGTTTGTGCCTGAAAAACGGAAATACATTGCCCGAAAAATGGCCGATTCACCGAATCCCCAGACCCCTCGGCTTCTATGCCTATGTATTTAATTCCTGGGACAAAAAGAATCCTGACAGTAAAAACAAAAGTCAACAATGTATATTTGTAGCTTTTATTTTTCAGATAAAGAGAATTTAAGTTTTAAATGAGACAATCTGTCCTTGGGCTTAAATATATCCCTGGTTTTAAATGTTGATAATTGTTTGATTTTGCAAATATTTAGATAAAGACATTATGATAAACGTAATAAAACACTTGTAATTAAAGTACAATTATTTGGATGTGCTCGTAAAAACAAATATTGTATGCATATTATACAATTAGGTGGATGCGATTGTAACAACATTTATTAAAAGCATACAAAAACATCTATTGAAAGCATATTATACAAAACCACAATACCTGTTGATATAGGTAACGAATAATCTAAGTAAGTACATCCAGCCTCAGTACAAACAAATACTTTAAACCTAAAACAGAATACAACCATAAATAATGATCACCACCATAGTCATGCTTTAGTGTCTCATCTGTATTGGAATCTTTTGGCTATAATTATTTTATCCCATCCAAACTCCTTTTCCTTGTTATGTCAAACCAACAAGTGCAATCATGGCAACTGGGAACTGGGCTTGAAAACCCCAAAAAGGTTTTAGGTCAAAGTTGTGTTTCTGGTCGTGAATCTAGTGTACTAGCCCTGCACAGAACAATTTAGATAGACGTGTGAAATATTGGTACATGGAAATTGTTAAGAAATACATAATAGGATTATTTACCTATATTTCGTGTTAGGTCTCAGGTAACCATTACAATGTAGGTGGTGATTGTTTTCACAGTTTCTATCGTTACCTACCACAAAATCTGTCTTTGCTGAGAGTAAAAAATAAATTGTAAAATTATTTATCTTCAAATCTTTTATATAAAATTTTGTGTAATTCACTTTGCTAGACATTACAGCAGGTTTTAACACTGTGATATACGAAAGAGAAATGAAATGAAATGGTGTTTAACATCTTACTTTTTTGCTCCAACTGGGATAATGAAGATGCCATTTTGGAAAATTTTGCCTGGACAGCGCACTACGACTTACTCTTGTTTCGAATTCAATTTGTATACGGTTCTTTTACGTGTACACTAACATGTAAGCGGGACCTCGGGGGGGGGGGGGGTATCCCAAACAAACTGCTAGACAATGTTCCTTGCTAGGTGAAACGGTCCATAAAAATACTTAGAAACTTTCTAGGCCCACATCCGGATCCAAATCTATCATTAGACAAAGTAATACTGATTGTTATGGGAGAATTTAAAAATTGTGTAATGCATATAATAAATTATTACCAAAATAATTTTTTTTTTTTTTTTTTAAAAAATACAGAAATTCCCCTTACTGAGACCAGATTGACAGTCAGGTTTCCAGCTTTCACCAGTAACTCTGTACGTTAAAATGCTGACTGAAGTTTGACTCCATTTTGGATGGATTCCAATGTCATCACCTTCCATTGGAGCTAAAACATACAATACAGAAAATAAATCCTTCTTGGCTTGTATATCACTGCATGGTGGATCTGCTAAATCCATTGCCCCGAAACAACCATCGAGGTACTGGTACCTTACATTTTGTTTCAATAATTTGCTTCATAACCCCTGAACATTATATGGACTTCCAACAGCTAACAAATTTTGGTGTACCTTTTTACTTCTATAATCACCGATAAAAAATATTTAAAATTTTATAATCTGTTTCATCTTTCAAAAGCAAAATAATTATACACTAACCTCTTTTAATGGCAATAGTTTTTGTAGCCAATATACCGGTGTGTTTTATCTCACCATATGTGTTATCACATAGAAACATCATAGGTAATTCTATAGCAATTTGTCGTTTACGGTCCGATACTGGATGTTTTGTACTTTGTCTTGTCATTGGAGTTCTTTCTTTTGGTTTTGGCAATACTCCTGCAGGAACCTTTATAATCCGCTCTGTTTTTTGTCCATAACCAGCACCATTTACAGCTGCAATCTTTGATAATAGATTAAAATTTGAATTGGCTCTCAAACAAATTACATTCAAGACAGGTAGAATTGAAAGTAATTTTATACCACTTGGTATACTGGGTTAAAGGAAATGTGTTCATTCAGTAGAAAGACAATATCAAAGAATAAAATTGCAGTTCAGGAGACTATCTGAAAGGGGAAAAAACACTTCAAAACTTTACCCCTTCTTGGCATAGCATATAATAAATTTGCAAGAAACTATCAAACTAAACTTAACAATCGCTACAGAAAGGCAAAGTAATATTTTTAACACTCCCAAGCACATAAAAACAATGTCACTTACTTGTACTATATATTTCTGTTCAGGTGAAACTAAAATGGTCCTTGTGCGAGAATCTTCAGATACTTTCAAATGATCAGGTCTTCCAACTCCAACATTCTGCATTAAAAATAGATGTAAAAAGTAGCCCAAATTTATTAATGACAAGAGTATCCAACAAAAACCTAACCTTACCAGGCAACAAATTTATACCCATTATAGTTGCATTTTGAAAGGAAAATCTCAAGGTTTTGGAGTGTGGGGTAAGAACTACCAAGACAACTGATGGGCCACTCCGAATTTTGATAAAGTACATTTCTCTTCACGTATAGCCAAACAATAATAACGAGTTTAACAAAAATCTCAAAAAATTTAACCCAATTAAGACTTTCAAGTTTTCAGTTCTAGGAGCAAAATCTTGGCATAACATTTAAGAATAAGTCAAAATTTTGCAATGGTTCCTCAACAGGGTTTCGTTGACTGGGGCAACATACTGCGAAAAAGTATTACTCGACCCTGAATCTAGGATGGGTTATTCCTCACAACTAGTCAAACAATCCCAAACAGACAGATTAATCGACTGATGTAATGATAATATGTGGGTAAATAGAAAATTGCAAATACTGCCATTCATTAAAATCCAGCCAGTTTCATGAAAAATTTTAATTTCCAAATTACTTCCCATCCAATTGTTTCCTCTATTTTTTTTCTTTTCATATATCACACTTTACATGCATCAAAATATTGGTTTTATACTTACAAACAGTTGTTTCGCCTTGTAGTGTATTTCATAATTCAGAATAACACCATTTTTTTGAGTTGGTGGTTTCCAGTTTAATACAATAGTCCTTGGTTTGAATCTATCATTTTCTGCCCAAACTGTAAAACTCTCCACTGGTCCCGGTTCTAAAATATAAACCAGTTGCTTAAATTAAAGTTACCGTGGGGGAAAATAATATCTTGAGGTCATTTTCGATTTTTTAGTATTTTTATATATCACAATTGTACTATAAGATGTCATAATAGTATTTATTTTATGATCAGTAGTGGAATACCACGTTTTATCAGTGAAATAAAAGTGTTATTCCACTGGCTAGCAGTAGTCCATGTTGTTTTTACCTAAAATGATTGTAAAATCATAAAATAAATAGAACATTTGTCGTTTTGTCGTGAATAACATATTTTATTTCATCTCTAAGCAAGAAAACATTTATATTTTCACGAATGCTAGACAAAACGACAAATATCCTCTATGTATTAAAACACAGACGTGACGTCATCCTTTGATGTAGGCGTACCATTATTTCCAATAATGTACGGGCAACTTGCCAATCATACATTATCTATACTAGATGAAATATTGGATTCGAGTGACGTATTTCATTGAAAAGCATGTGCGGGATAGTGTCTGTATTTTAAGTTGTTTAATGGTCTTGAGCTAAAGACATTGAGTAATATATTGAAACAACACTTGGCTAACACCTTGTGCAGTATCAATATATTTAATGTCTCGCTCTCGACCATTAAACCATACTTATTAAATATATATGACTATGTCTAAGTGAATATGTATGCATGCTGTCCTTAATGGACGTTTTGATGCAATAAACATCTTATCTTATCTTATCAAATATAAAGTACAACCAAACAATTTCAAACATTATGATTAGGACTAATCAAATGATCGTGTATACTGACATCATGTAACTTTGAGATGTCAAAATAACCTTTTATGTATTTTTCATGCATAATGTATAATTTACATGCTGACCGAAAAGGGAAGTACAACCAAACTGTCACAAACTTTATGAGTCAGACTAATGAAATGATCTTTAGCAGTGGGATGTGACCATACTCCTTGTTATGTACAAGCTTGGTATCAAAACAAACCATGCCACTTGACTCAATCACTGACATTATGATCTAAAGCGAACATAGACCACACGTGTTCGATCCCTGCATTTGCAGAGAAAGTTCATCCATATTTTCCGTGATGCATGAAGGAGGGCCTGACAAGGACAGCTGTCTAGTCTTTCGGATGGTACGAAAAAACGAGGTCCCGTGTACACATTGGCATGCACGTAAAAGATCCCTTGACAGTTGGAATTCGATATAAGAGTAGGCGTAGTGGCACTATTTGGGCAAAAATTGCCTCATAGCACACTGTATATGGCATATGCCCATCTTCATGCCCATCTTTATTAGCCCAGTTCTGAGCAGAACAGTAGGACGTTAAACCCCATTTCATTTCATTTCATTCATTCCTGTAGACCACATGATGACATGTCAATTTTATATGCAAACAAAAGCTAATTTGTGACAGTATATATATCCCAAGGGAATATCTAACAATAATTTTATGGCAATAAGAGTCTGTTTTCAAACTCTAAATCCAAACTGGCAGATCTTCAAAAAATAAACTAACTGGCTTCTTTGGTCTGAATTAATCGTGGACTTCCTTGGGTATTCCCTATTGTATTGGCTCCAATAACAGTTAGTTCATAACTCCGATAAGGATGTAAACCTTGTACCTCACATCTGGTAACTGAAACCAAAAGAAAATGATGCATGATTACCATTAATACATTTACTTTCAATTTATCACCAAAACAAAACTGATTTACTACAATAGCTGTCTGCATATATTAACACTGAACTAAATTTGAAAATTTGGTTTGATATTGGGAGAAGACAATAATTAACATATAGCAGCCACTGAATAAAAACATCAATGAACATTACAAAAAATTACTGAATTACCAGTTACACTAATAATCAAAAATTGCAAATTGCTGCAGAAATCAAAATAATAATTTAATATCAATTAGATGTTATTTTCGTTCCATTTAATAAATCTGATTAAATTCATATTTTAATTGCAATTCGTTTTATTTTCTATGTTTTCATGTTGTACTTCCATGAACACTTGTCAAAATTTATTTGAAGTCAGATTTCAGATAACTTAAACATTTTGACTAATGTTATTGTCAGTATTATATATAGGGCTGTGCATTGTAGTGAATTATGGGAATGAATGATTATATTTGGAACACAATTCTAAAAGAACATCACGAAAATCGCAGGTTGGTTACCGCACAATATAGCGTCAAAATCAGAATAAAATAACTATGATTAATAGTGCAGGTTTTGATTAGTAGGTGGGGGGGGGGTCCATGGTGGCTAGCTAAGTGGGTAAGATGCTGGCTGGCTAGCCTGGAGATCGGGTGTTTGATCCCTGCATTGGCCGAGAAAGTTCATCCAGATTTTCCAGAGTAGTTTCCCCTTGTCAGTGATGCAGGACAGAGGGCCTGACAAAGACGGGACAAAAAAACACAAGTTCCTGTGTGCACGCAAAAGATCACTTGGCAGTTGGAATTCAATATAAGAGTAGGTCATAGCGACGCTGCCCGGGCAAAATTCCCTCATAGCACACTGTATGGCGTATGCCCATCTTCATTAGCTCAGTTCGGAGTAGAACAGTAGGTCATTAAACCCCATTTCATTTCATTTCATTTCTCTGAATGGTAGGTTGCTGTGGACCATTACGGAAAACACAACCTTTAGACAAAGATAAAGCGAAGAAAACAACTGGGAAATGAAACTGAATGTAATGTTGGAATAATATCAATAATTAGACTGAGTAAAATACAATCATTATGACCTATATAGCACTATATAAGTATAGTATATCTTATTAATTTTCTACCTTGATAACCACATTCCTTGACTGAAGTTTTCCTGGAAATGGAATCTTGCACTCTAACTGAGTAACTTGTATTTCCTTGGTATTGTTCTGGTTTACTCCATCTTAATGTAACACTAGTTGATGTTACCGTAGTTACAGTTACATTTTTTATACTACTAGGATCTACAAGGAATAGTACAATTGAAGTGAGAAATAGTTAATGAGTACTATGATATATAAACAATTATTGTTCAATTATTAAAACAAGTTTATTGATTTACCTTCTGAATTAAATATATTGTAACAAATAAAACAACAAATTTACTGAGATATTTCGATTTCACGCTTATTCACTTCAATCAAAATAAAAATCCTAAGATATTAACTTATTTCACTATAGACATTATGAGATTTAACAGACCCCAAATACCCCTGGAAGCATTTTTTTTATTTAAAATTTTTGTTTTAAATAATTTAATACATACTATCCTCTTTCGTCGTAGTATTCAAAGGTTCGGTTTTGCTATACCCAGCCTGGTTGGTAGCATTGACAATAAACCTGTATGACCTGTATGCATCTAAACCATCAATGAGACATTCAGTAACTGGAATTAGATATAATATAGGTGAGGTTGCAATTGGTATCTATTGGACATACCAGTAGGTCTTCTCAGAAATGGACATATTGGACATGTATTGAGATACCAATAACATTTTCAGCTACATGCTATACATGTATTTTGAAAAGTTACCACATTATCATAAGAGCCATAGTATGTTAAAGTTGCCACAGTATCACTACATTTATATGTAATTGTTGTCAAAGTTATCACAACAACAACATATGTATATGTAAAATCTGTCAAAGTTATAACAACCACATGTATATGTAGAGGATAAGAAATTTTTACAGGGTCTGTCATAATTACATCCTGCGAAATCCAATGATAACAAGCATACAGCACCAATGTAAAAAATAAAAAGATCAGAGGCTGTCGCAGTCCCAGAACCTTAATCCGATGGATTATGCCATCTGGAACCTTCTCTCGAAAAAGATTTGTGAAAGGAAACATGAAACACTTTACAGAAAATGAACTTAAGGGCTATTTGCCCGAAAATTCTCTTTGTCACCCGAATTATATAGTATTCAAACTGTAAACCACAAGTAATTTCCTTTTACAATTAAAATCTATGATATATAATCTCATATTCTGATGTTTGTGACCGAAAAACGGAAATACAAATTTAATACGCCATAGCGCCGCTGTCCAGGCAAAATTTCACTCATAGCACCCTCTATGGTGTATACTCATCTTCACTAGCCCAGCCGCAGCAGAAAGGCAAAACATTTTATTTCCTTTTTGCATATTGACCAGTTGTTTTTGTAACCTAGGGTGGGTGTGATGTGATTTTTCTGTCCGGCAAAACGATTTTTAACATTCTTTATCAAAACTTGTACTATTTTAATACTATCTGAGTGATAGACCTACAATCAAACATCCATATTGTACCATCTGTAGAAAGAGAGATAATGTCCACTCGCCATAAACTAGGTCATTTCGGGACTAACATATAGTTCAATTTTATTTCAATAATTTGTTTGCTGCACCCAGGGTCTGTAGCAGTAGGAGGAAACCGGAGGACCAGGAGAAAACCCACGAGGTTGGACAGGTGACCCTACTCCTTGTCATGTACAACGGGGAAATCGAAACCACACCAGTTGACTCAATGACAGACCTTATGATACAGGGAGCATACGCTAACCATTCGGACATCCCCCCCCCCTGTACCACCTGTGGAATAGAAAGTTAATGATATAGGTACAATTAGTTTTGAATTATTCCATTTGAAATATTGTACTCCGTTTTTTTTTTCTCGGACACCCGATATTTGAGAAACTTAACATGATATGTTTGAAAGAGATGGTTAACTACGCCATCAACTATACATATTTGGAGGTTATTTTTTCAGGATGTATCAAATATAATTGTTTTAAATAAACTGAATAGCAGTATATAAGTTATTGACTTGCAAAGCTGTTGGAATTGGAACTGATTTGTGATAAAATGTAAGTTTATTGGGTTTATTGGTTTTGTACCTTTATATCCACAGTCGTTAGTTGTAATATCGTTAGACACCAGATCTGTTACAATAACTGTGTACCTTGTATTTCCTCTGTATTCATCTGGTTTACTCCATTTTACTGTAAAACTTGTTGATGTTACATCGATTACCTGGACATCTTCTACACTATGCGGAACTAATGTAAAAGTATAATATATAATACAGTATAAAGACAGTTAATACAATACTACATAAAATATTTATAACTGTGCATGTAACTTCTGATAATGTATGATATTATTAATTAGATACCAGAAATAAAGATATTTACCCAAACAAAAAATATAAACATACCATCTTCACTTGTTTCAAATACGGCTTCTTTTGTTTCACTATATCCAGATAATGCATAGGCTTGAACTACTATAGTATAGTTTGTGTATGGCTTGAGGTCAGTAAACAATATGTTGAATGTTTCTTGATTTCGAAAGAAATTTCTTTGATCCTATAGAAAAATACAGTATTTTTATTATGCTTAAAGTAAAAGTTTCAGCCTGTGTTAGTAAATTTATTTACCTCTGTGATTTCTCACTCAAAATATGCTTATTAGCATTATATGAGTGTGTCATTTGGTACAAGGTAAATGGCTACCGAAAGAGCTACAAGCCAAGTTGATCCTCCCCTGCCCCACCCACCTTTTGCGGAATTTTGTTAGGTTAGCTATATTATGAAGTACACAAATGAATGAGTAGTGAGTGGTATAAATAAATTAAGTATCAAGTAACAATAATACAAACAGAATATAGTTCACATAAACTGTTTTTCTTATATGCTGTTTTTAAAAGAAATTATTGATGATTATAAACTTTCTTTCCATCAAAAACATTGTTATCTAGAATTGGATATTGAAAGTTTGGGAAATGAAATGGTGTTTAACGTCCTACTGTTCTTCTTCGATCTTTGCTAATGAAGATGGACATATGCCATACAGTGTGCTATGAGGGAAATTTAGCCCAAACAACCGTACTACGTCCTACTCTTATTTCGAATTCCAACTGCCAAGTGTCAAAGGATCTTTTACGTGTACACCAATGTGTACACAGGACCGCGGTCTTTTCGTACCATCCGAATGACCAGACAGCTGTCCTTGTAAGGCCCTCCGTTCTGCATCACGGACAACGGGGAACCACGCTGGAAAATCGGATGAACTCTCTCGGCCAATGCAGGGATTGAACATCCGACCTCCAGGCTAACGAGCCAGCATCTTACCCACTTAGCCACCGTGACACCAAGAAAGTTTGGGGTTGTGATGCCTACTCAAGCAATAGTCAACACAAACACTACTGGATCATTATTCACAATGTTGGATAGAAGACCAATTAATGATATGTCAAATGTTTTTACCGGTACACTCTTCTTGTCTGTATTACATGTTGATTGACAATCAACACATTCCAGGTGTCTTGTAAATTCACGTTTTTGATCATCATCGACAGATATGCTGTATTTATTGATGATTCCATTTGATATGTTCGGCCGTCTCCAACTGATATTTAAAGAACTAGATGTTACATCCAAGGCTTGCAGTTCTCTTACAGGGCTTGGTTCTGGCAAAATAAAATCAAAAAGGATGTATATAACACGACTCATTTTGAGTAACAAATGAAATAAAATGGGTTTTAATGTCCTTCCTTTTTGCACCGACTGGGCAAATGAAGATGGGCAAACATACATGTAATGCAGAATGCAATGAGAGAAAGTTTGCCCAGACAACAGCATTTCTGTCTAGTCTTCAACATATTCTAACTTAGCTGTCTTAAGTGCACACCAATGTGTACGTTAACGACTAGACGCTCCTCCTTACCAGTCCCTAAATCCTGCACCACTAACAAGGGGAAACAATACTGGAAAATGCCCATGCCCATGGTTAGTGTGCCAGCACGTTACTACTGTGTCATCCTGCGTTATCCTGCTTGTAGTCACATTATGCTTAGCAACCTGCAATCTATTAATGCGAGTAAAACACCCTTGACAAGCAAAGATATTTTGTCATTCTCTGTTCAAGCCACTCAGAATTCAGGAAATGCTAATAAACAGCTGAAAATTACCTTCACTTTGAATAGTAATAGTTTCATAACTTAGTTCCCCAGGTCCAGCACCATTTATAGGTATAACACTTACATTATAGCAATTCCCTATAAATACAAATCAAACATTTCTTACTAATACTATGTATCTTACCATATAATTTGGATTCTGTATTGATCTAAGCATGTTAATTATGTATAATACTACTATATAATAATGGATTCTAAATTGATTTAGCTATGTTAATTATTAATAATCTTACCATATAATAACTATAGCTTAATTTATCTTAGATACTTTCTATTTTGATTTAAGAATATGGCAGAAAAATAAAGTTTTACCACATAAAACATGTGTTTAATTTTAATCAATTTCAATATCAAATCATATTTCATTGATATGTTTTACCATGCAATACCTGACATTTATTTTATATTCTTACCATATGATACTTCATATTCTATCCAATGATTCATAGTTATATTGGTTATAGTGGTATTACTGTCCAGATTAACAAGTATAATATTATAAGATGTTATATTTCCATTAGGTCTTTCTGGTGCACTCCATTTCACCCATAGTTTTGTGTCATTAAGTGTCAACTTTAAATTAGTAACACTACTGGATACTGAAATTATAAAACTAAAGTCATCTCACAGGATGGCAAGTGATTTGTGTCTTATATATATATTAATGAATTGTGTGTGCTATAGTATATTTATATTCTGAGTGAAATATAATTAAGATAAATTGTCAAATAATTTATAAGGGTGAAATATAGTACCAAGTGCTAGTTTAGTCATGGTTGTTAGTTTATTGAGATTTAGCACTTACAGACTGAAATAAAATAAGAACTGAAATGAAATGGACTTTAACTGTTTAACATCCTATAATTTTCTGCACCAACTGGGCTAATGAAGACGGACATACCCGACACAGTGGGCTATGGGGGAAATTTTACCCAGACAGCAGCACTATGGCCTATTCTTATTTTTTTATTTGCACGCCAATGTGTACACGGGACTCATTTTATTGCCCATCCAAAGGATTAGTACAGATAAGAAACAGCAAACTGCATAATAATGAAAAATGAAACTTTAAGACAGATCAAACATTCCTGATTAATATACCAACCATGGAGCAATAAAAAGATCGCATTTATATTTGATCCAACACGATGTTTCAGTTTTAAAATTATGGCAATGGAGGGTGTGGAGGCAAGACAGGGTATGCTTACACTTGGTACTAATTCCATTATAGAATTATGTGTCAACTTGTCTTTTGGACTTTGTATTTTTACTAGAGGTTATAGAATTGATTATGCTTGATTTTTCTTTTTACTGCCACTTACTTCCTTCGGGAATAGTTATTCCTTCTTCAGTTGCCTCCCCCAAACCAGCACCATTTACAGGAACTACTGTAACCTTATATTGTGATCCTGCCAATAATCAAATATTACCATGTTATAAATCGGAATGGTATGAATAGTCCAGGATTTTATTCACTAAATCTTTGAAACATAACAATTGACAAAATCGAGATAACAAGCATCTGTGGATAATTTTATGAGAAAATTCCCTACAAATGCACAAAACCGAAATGTCAGAGAACCATGAAATAAATATCGGGTATGTCCACCCTGAGCTCTTACACATGCCTGAAGTCGCCTTGGCATGGACTGGCACAGATGTTTCACTACACGCTGTGGGATTGTTTGCCTGTGCCAACTCTGCAACAGTTCATGGTGCCATCTTCCAAGTTCACCCCAAAGGTGTTCGATCGGGTTCATGTCGGGAGACATAGGGGTCAATCCATAACACGGACATGATGATTGTTCAAAAAGTCTCTTGTCAACATGGCAGTGTGGGGTTGGGCGTTGTCATGCTGGAAAACCATCTGTCCACGGATGGCATGTTGGGCCAACAATGGAAGCAACACCGGAAGTAGGATGTCGTCAACATAATGTTCAGCATTGAGATTGCCTTGGACCACCACCAACTGGGACCGGAAGTTGACGTTGATAGCGGCCCAAACCATGATGCCACCTCCCCCGAAACATTCCCTTTGCACAGATGCTGTAGTCGGATGTGGCGATCTTGAGCAGCGTTGTTACAGGTTGCCTCCAGGTCGGGGTCGATCAGCAACTCTTCAAGTGGCGTGGAAGCGTTGTCTGAGGCGAGCAATGGTCGATGGTTGGACATTATAGTGTCTGGCAACGGCTACCTGTGAAGCCCCCTGATCCAGCACGTGGCATTTTTCCGAAGTGATGAATGTTGAAATTTTGATTTGTATTTAAAGAGCCAGAGTGCGTGGAATGCATGTGCAACACGTGTGACATGGGACTGCTTAAAATCGTGAAAAAAGACAAGTGCTGTGTTTGCACGAACAAAGTTCATTACCGAGAACTGATATTGGGTTCAAACCCAGAACTCCACAAAGAGAGACCCATCACAAGTTTCACCTATGTGCCATAAGATAGGAAAGCCCAAGAAAATGTTTACCACAAATATTTCATGAATTAGGCATTGCGTTTTTAATGGCTTTGAATGTATATTCTTACCATATGATACTTCATATTCTATCCAATAATTTGTAGTTATACGGATTATAGTGGTATTACTGTCCAGATTAACAAGTATAATATTATAAGATGTTATATTTCCATTAGGTCTTTCTGGTGCACTCCATTTCACCCATAGTTTTGTGTCATTAAGTGTCAACTTTAAATTAGCAACACTACTGGATACTGAAATTATAAAACTAAAGTCATCTCACAGGATGGCAAGTGATTTGTGTCTTATATATATATTAATGAATTGTGTGTGCTATAGTATATTTATATTCTGAGTGAAATATAATTAAGATAAATTGTTAAATAATTTATAAGGGTGAAATATAGTACCAAGTGCTGGTTTAGTCATGGGTGTTAGTTTATTGAGATTTAGCACTTACGGACTGAAATAAAATAAGATCTGAAATGAAATGGACTTTAACATCCTATAATTTTCTGCACCGACTGGGCTAATGAAGACAGACATACCCGACACAGTGGTCTATGAGGGAAATTTTACCCAGATAGCAGCACTATGGCCTACTCTTATCTTTTTATTTGCACGCCAATGTGTACATGGGACTCATTTTATTGCCCATCCAAAGGATTAGTACAGATAAGAAACAGCAAACTGCATAATAATGAAAAATGAAACATTAAGACAGATCAAACATTCCTGATTAATATACCAACCATGGAGCAATAAAAATATCGCATTTATATTTGATCCAACATGATGTTTCAGTTTTAAAATTATGGCAATGGAGGGTGGGGAGAGCAAGACAGGGTATGCTTACACTTGGTACTAATTCCATTATAGAATTATGTGTCAACTTGTCTTTTGGACTTTGTATTTTTACTAGAGGTTATAGAATTGATTATGCTTGATTTTTCTTTTTACTGCCACTTACTTCCTTCGGGAATAGTTATTCCTTCTTCAGTTGCCTCCCCCAAACCAGCACCATTTACAGGAACTACTCTAATCTTATATTGTGATCCTGCCAATATTCAAATATTACCATGTTATAAATCGGAATGACATGAATAATTCAGGATTTTATTCACTAAATCTTTGAAACAAAACTACTCTAGTTATTTATTTATTTATTGTCCTGGATATGAGATAATGTAATGTTAATCAGTTAGAATAGTATTTAAAATAAATTGTATCATCAGATTTAGTTTGTTATTTCGATATGCCGTTCTCAACTATTTTATTTTGTTACCTATTTAGAATCGTAACATATTTAACAATTAACACTTTAGTCATTTTCCAATCTGATTAAAACACAAATCCTATTTCATTTCGTTTTTTTTTTTTATAGTTCAAAATTTAGTTTTACTTGTCTTTACTACACTAGGTAGTGTAGGCCATCGAAAGCATAAAAAACGAAACGAAATATAGATCTGTATTTTAATTATTTTCAAAAAAGAAATTTGGAATTCTAGTTAAGAGTCTGAAATGAATTTGATATAAATCATATGCCTGTTACTCATAATATCAAGCCTTAACTAACACATATAGTTTAGAATTTTCAAACATCAATCCAGGAAGAATGTGCATTGGTGTAATTTTCATTCTTCTGATGTAGTTAGGAACAAAAAAAAATATCCTGATATGGTGTAAAATTGGATTTGTAGTTTTTTATTCACGAAATTTCATTGTTATCGAAATGATGAAATACACTGCTTATCTTAGTTTATATAGATACATCTTAACATATTTTGATACATAAAGTTGTGTTATTTGATGCTATTTATTATAAATTGTTAACTACCAGTTTTTATACCTTACCATCTAATAAAGTATATTCTACTGTCGTAGATGTAGTTAGTTATTTATAATCATACCATATAATACAGTTTATTGGATAATCGATTTTCTTAAAATATAATACATGGCATTCAAGTTTATTTGCATACTGCATGCAGCGATCCATCTATGTCATACTCCGAGAATAGATGAGGCGGAGCTAGCTGTAGACCGGCAGACTAAGTTTGGGATAGTTATATATTTGAGGTACGTAGTTTAGTTAAACCTCATTTACAATCTTATAATTACCATATTCCATATAATATAGATGTTCAAGTATGTTTGATGTATCGTATATAATATGCTATATTGAAATATTTATAATGTAGTTAATAAGTTATCTATTGATAATCTTACCATAAACAACTGTGTAATCGAATATAATATCAGTTTGAGTTTTGTTGACTATGGTATCTTTACTGTCTAGATCAACAAGTGTAATGGTATATGATGTTATATTTCCATTAGGTGTTTCAGGTGGTGTCCAAGTAACAGATAAATTTGTACCATCTGAAGTCAGTGTAAGGTTTTGAACACCACTTGATTCTGAAACAATATTTTTATTCACTAATTAATGGAAACTGAAGGGTCACAGATTACATAGTGACAGCTCAAATAACTTATAATGGAAATAACTGAGGAAAAATGTTGTACTCATTTATTAATGTAAAAAGTACTAGGGTAGTTAGAAAATGAGGAATTGTATCATATGTTTTAGTTTAACATTAATCATCTGTTATGAATGAATAAATGAAATTAAATACTCACTGCCATCCAATGTTGTAAAAGAAGTCGTGTTAGTTGTATTACAACCATTAAACTCTGTTTGTACAGTTAAAGTATAATCTGTAGCGGGCTGTAATCCTGTAATCTCTTGTACACTGGTGGTACTACTGGTGGTACTACTGTTATCAACAGTCCCTATATGTCTTATGTAGGTAACATTATCCACGTTCAACAAATTACTACATTCAACTATTAAACTGCTTTCTGTTATATTCTTGATACTTATAGAACATTCCAGTGGATCTGCAATAAAAAAAGTTGATCAAATCTAACACACTGCATGATGAGAGAGGGATCGAAATGTTAACACTTTCACCAATAACAGGCATTATAACCAAAGGCGAACGTGTTGTTTCACTCAGCATATAATGTGCCAGTAGACGTAGAATCTCCCCTATAAATCGAAGTGGCATTAGACCTTGTAGTTGTCTGCGACATCACCTCGGTGGAAGCGAACGTTAAATAAAGATATTCCACACACCAGAGGCGTAGCCGTGAAATATATATTGGGGGGGGGGGGGGGTCCGCAAATAAAATAATAATAGACCTATCGTACTATGTAATTTTTGGGGGGTCCAAGTTTATTCAGACACCCCCCCCCCCCGAAAAACAATTGGGGGGGGGGGGGCGGACCCATGCCATACACAGATTTTATAGAAAGAGTAGTAAGGTCCGTGGAGTAACCAACTCTGTTTCATATACAACACCCATAACCAGACTAATGGATCTCAACATTAGAAGCTGAAATTAGTACGTTTTTAAAACATTAAATAGCAAAATAATATGATGGTTTTAAAAAGAAAAAGAAATGGTAATGTTGGTTGACTGCACCACCCCGATTTTAACAGAGCCTTAGAAATAAAAGTCTGTGTACGTATGAAATTTAAGCGCCAAAATATAGAGGAATGGTCTAATAATTTCAGCTCAAAATATTGAGTCGTTTGCATGGGCGTGACCGTCAAACCCGCTTGTCCGGACACATAACCCTTGTAGAATTTCGGGTCAATACTTCCGTTGGGTGACCCGATAATCTATTGCCGTTCCTTTAGAGGTTTATATAGTGCATGGCCCACGTGCATTACTTGATAACGAAGGCTAAAACGTTATTTGTTTTGTTTGGTTTTTTTTTAAAAAAAAGTCTGGTTATATAGACACCGAATAATACAGCTTGGGACACCGGTCGCCATTTCTAGATGAAGACTGACGGGATTAAATTGTTTGAAAACGTACCACGTATTACATATTGAGTTAGTTGCTTGGCCTAAAAGTAAAGGATTTTATGGGCTTTTATCACAAAATCAAGCAGTTTTTCTCCAAATTATAATCGACATTGACCCTTTAATTAACAACATACAGTTTTGACCGATAAACACTGCTACAATTCAAAGCTTTGTTAATCCTGGCTTGTAAAAGAAATATCTTTTATAATTTATCCATACATTGAGATTGCATTAAGATCAGTAGATGTGTTAAGATTCATTATAAGGTCTACACATCATAGTCTATTATGGTTTTCAAGGAGTTCAAAGATTATCGATAATTAGGTTATTTTAATCTATATATATATTTGTGACTGTCGTTTGTCTGTCTGTCTGTCTGTCTGTCTGTTCGGGGTTGGCGGCTACACTAGGTCTGCCCCGAGTCTGAAATTTGGGGTATAGGGGTAGCTCGGACCGGGGAATAACATAGGCCAGGTGGAGTTAGTCTACCACTTCCGGTTTCGGAGTTATGACCCCCGGGCGAAGCCAGTCTGTTCGGGGTTGGCGGCTACACTAGGTCTGCCCCGAGTCTGAAATTTGGGGTATAGGGGTAGCTCGGACCGGGGAGTAACATAGGCCAGGTGGCGTTAGTCTACCACTTCCGGTTTCGGAGTTATGACCCCCGAGCGAAGCCGGTCTGTTCGGGGTTGGCGGCTACACTAGGTCTGCCCCGAGTCTAAAATTTGGCGTATAGGGGTAGCTCGGACCGGGGAGTAACATAGGCCAGGTGGCTTTAGTCTACCACTTGCGGTTTCGGAGTTATGACCCCCGAGCGAAGCCGGGTATCCTGCTAGTATTAGATAAAATGATATTTTCCATTTATTTTCTTGTGCCTTGTTAATAGTGTTTTATTTATGAATTACATAAGAAAAACAATAAAAAGTGATAATTGATATTTTACTTGCCTGTCTGAATTGTATTTGGCCATCCATGTGTACTTGTAATAGTATTACTGATCGTCTGTATTTGGATTTGGTAATCTTGACATGGTTTCAGTTGACAAAAAGTCTTGTTAAATGTTTCTTGGTTATTAGTTCTATCTACAGATATGGTATACGTAGGATTGTTATTTAAAGACAATGAATAGCCATCTCTATAACCAAATCCAGAGGACCAGGATACTTGAATACATGTTATATTACTTACTCTAAGGCTTATATTCTGTGGTGGGTCAGGTTTCTTGGTAAATTCTGTATTGAAAAGAGCATAAATAAAAACAATTATTTCAAATTAGTTATACTAGTTGATTGAATCAATTTTGAAATGGAAAATTTAATCAAGTAAAATAAAATTATTTTTAAAAAATTAATTTAGATAATCAAGAACCTAAAATGTACTTACCAAAACTTAATGGCCCACTTTTCATTATCTGTTTTCTTCCTTTGTAAAATCTAACAGCAGTGACATTAACATTGAAGTGATCTCCTGGCAAAGCTAAAGTTGAATTTAAGACATAGGTCGTTGATTCAGTCGTAGTGTTGATGTTAAATTTAGTCGACTTGATCTGGATCTCATATTCATCTGTTTTACCAATTCCTTCTTGCCAGTTTAACTTGTTATTTTCTGGTATATATTCCAAGTTCTTGGATGATGGCGGATCTATGTAAGCAATACAAAAATTATTTAATTTAAAGTTGCAATTTCATATTTTTAAGTTATATTTTTAAAATTTATTAAAATAAAGCCTTAAAATAGATGGTATCTATAAACAGTCCTACCTTGTTAAAGAACAATCCTATTAATCCTATAATTCACTATTGCCAGTTGAGAAATTGGCAAAAATATCATTTTCATCTTCAAATTCCAACGTTTGAAGATAACTACTCCATGGAGGAGAATAGAAAACAAGGGAGGTAATTGGGAGGTAATTGTGTTATTATTTCCGGTGTAAATGAGTTTTAAGTGTGAGAATGATACCTATGATCGTATAATAGTGAGTTGACAACCTATTGAGCAAAAGACATAGAAATAATTATGTTTTGACTTTCTTAGAAAATATGAAATTGTAACTTTAACAATTTTCCCAATATTGACATCGTGTTACTAATGTTGAAATCGTGTTACTAATGTTGAAATCGTGTTACTAATGTTGACTTGATGTTACTAATTTTGACTTGATGTAACTTATATTGACTTGATGTTACTAATTATTAACATCGTGTTAATAATATTGCCCCCATGTTAATAATATTGACAGCATTGTTATATACATTGACATCACATACTAGTACTGTGATTATGTTAAAGTTCCCAATATTGATTTTCTGTTAAATGCCAGCACAATTCTATTACAAATATTTACATAATACTATTATTAATGGCCTATTTTGTTTTGAACCTATAAATGTTAATCCTTTTTAGCGTGGTAAATGTTACAAGTTACAAGTAACCTATACATCTCATATTTAGGATATATCAAATAAATATTTATAGGTTACATGTATGGCCGGCATATACAGACGAAACAACATCCTTGTTGTGTATTTATTTTAATTACTCTATGATATTCACTCACTTGTTAAAATTGCGTCTTTTTCTTCGAATAAATCATTTTCTCCTCTGACTCCTACTAATTTCACTCTCATTTTTTTGCCCTGTCTTACACCCTTTCCACACACGGTTGTATTATATGTATCACCTTTGTGGCTTGTAACATTCTTTACTACCCCAGATATATTTACACGAAAATAATCAACATTATTGACCAGTTTCCATTTTAAACAAAAACAAGAGTCGTTGATGAAGCTACCCGTTATGTTTTTAATTGCTGGTTGTAAATCTGAAAGAGATGTCAATTTAACAAAACTATTGATGCTGTTATTTGAGATAGAAGAGTTTGTGACATATTTCTGTTTCCTATAGATCTTCGTAACCTACCAAGCAAAATGAGCCAAATAAATTCTAGTTCTCTGAGCCTTTCTTAAAATCCCTCAAACACGAAAAAAATTATTGCAAGTTTATACAGAATTGACAAATAAATTGATGAGGACAATAAAATGATAATTTTGTAGTAAACAATGTTAACCGCAAGAAGCATCTTATCCCTGAGAAGACAAATATATCAACCCTCCTCTGTATCCGCCCTAGATAAGAAACCTTATCTCCCACCCCTCTGTCGCGGTGTATCTTTTCTTCTTTTTTTTGCCTAGCTGTGTTGGATTTGAAGATACCATTACATTATGTTACGGCAGTGGTATACTGGCCATTCTTTTTACTCGTTACATGCAAAAAGTTTCTTACAAATTATTATTTTCATTGTTTTCTGAATCCTTATATGCTCAAATAAATACATATAGATAACGAAACAAACACGGGTAAATTAATATTAAATCCAGTTTGTACTGTCTTTAAAACCTACCCTTTTTGTTAAAACTACCAACGGGGGTCGATGGTGTTGAACTCAAACTACTGGACGGTGTCGATGAGGACGCTAAAAGGGTATTAGAGATGAATGCATTTTCAGAAGTCAATATTCGATTTCTGGTAACTTCTCCGTCTATTGTAGAATATGTCTTTGATGGGCTGGTTGGGCTGGTATCAATCAAGTCAGATTGCTGGAGATCCTCTGAGGTTGAAGTATCGAGTGTAGATGTCGGAGAATTGGTAATCCTACTTGCTGATGTGGGCAACAGTGCACCACGGTTCGTTGATGTTTGGGGTGTTCTGAAGTGTTCTTCTAATGTATCTTCATATGTCGTTGATGGACTGGTTGGTTTGGTATCAATCAAGTCAGATTGCTGAAGATCCTCTGAGATTGAAGTATCGAGTGTAGATGTCGTAGAATTGGTAATCCTACTTGCTGATGTGGGTAACAGAGCACCAAGGTTCGTTGATGTTTGGGGTGTTCTGAAGTGTTCTTCTATTATATCTTCATCAATGTAAGGTGTATGTGTTGAATAAACAGTGTTGGAAGAACCAGACCCCGTTTCAGATGTATCTATAACATCATTTCCACTAGACGTTGTCGGTAATTCATTATCTTCATTTAAAATGGTCGTCGGCAGGGCAGTATTTCTCATCCCACTTATTTCATACTGTACATAAAAAAGATCATAAAAGCATCCATATTATGAGATGGTATAACTTTGGTTACTAAGGAATATAAGTCACCTTTAATACATTGACAAAAACAAAATAAATCAGTTTGAAATCTTTTCAAAAATTATTATTTACATCTTTAACTTGCAGAAAGATAGGTTTTCAGGTAACGATGTATTCGCCCACCGAGGGCAAGTCCACAAAAGGTTTCACCAATGTATAGATATTGAGAGCATTTCCGAGGTACTAAAATTGATCAAACTGACATTATTCTCTCCCAGTATTTCTAAGCAATGCATATTTGTTATCAGTTTATGTTTTTTAGGTGAATAAATGGATATTTCGAGGGTATTGTTTTATTGGTTGAATAAATGTGGGAACGTATAAATCATTTAGGACTGAAAACGGAACACACTGCGAGCACAGCAAGGAAACACAATTATCAACATCAGAGATAGACAATCTATGTGTTATTGGTAATCAACAACAAACTACTAGTGCGAAGATGTACAGCAAATAGTATCTGGTTATTGTGGACAATGGCTATGAATATGTCCCCGAAGAAAAATGTATTATACCAAAATCTAAGTCAAATTTGTTTCCATGGAAACACAAAACTTGTTAAATCCGAGAAATTTCTAATTAGTTAAAGGCACGTATACCGTAATAGGTTGATTTGCGCATAAAGCTTCACAAAGATATCTTGGAATGTTTATGAGATATTATGCTAGATTGATGCGTGTTCAAAGTTTTGTAACGATGTCTTGTATGGTTTATGAAATATGTTCCGGAATGAAACTTGTATACCAAAAAACTAAGCCAAATTGATTAAATCCGAGAAAATTTCTAGTTAGCAAAAGGTACAACTACTATCAAATAGGTAGCTGTTTGTTCAAATTTTCTGAAAGATGTCGTGCATGGTTTATAAGATATCATCCGGAATGAAACTCGCATATTCGTATAATTTGTTTCCATGGAAACGCAACAATTATTAAATCCATAGAAACGCAACAATTATTAAATCCATGGAAACGCAACAATTATTAATTCCCAACAAATGCCTAATTAACAGAAGGCACAACTACTATAGAACGTTCATATGTGTTCCAATTTTCATAAAGATATCTTGCATAGTTTATGAGATACTGGTATATTCTGGATTGGAAATTGTATACAAAAAACTAAGTCAGATCTGTTTCCATGAAAATACAAAAATGAATAAAACCGAGAACTTTGTAAATAGCAAAAGGCACTACCACTATAGGCCCTAAAAGGTTGATATCTTGAACGGTACACAAATTCGGAACGGACGTAGTCAATTTCAATATCCCTATCCAATTAACTTCGTTTCGGCCGGGGATTAAAAACATTTCGTCTTCTTGTTTTTTTAATGATGATTGGAAGGCTATTATAGTTTGTTCGGCTGCAGTTTGTCTGCATATGGTTTGGATGAAAGCTTATGAATACTTTAAATTTCCTGTGTGCGATAATTTACGGATTTCTGGCCATGTTCCGACATATTTTGTTAGCATTTCTGACATAGCGAATAGGCAATTGGGAGCTTAAATGTTAATCAGAAACATACGAAAGATATTGATTGTAAGTTAGAATCGGAAAATGAAACAAATAATCGTGAACAATTTAGGAAGAAATATAGGTAGGTGGAAATTGCATTACTTAACCGTATCATTGAACAAAATATGATCAGCTAAAATATGCCAAACCATAGACCGTATATTTTAAAGGAAAGGGAGGTTAAAAACCTTATTTTAAGCAGTGGCCTACATTTGAAATAAAGAGATCTATTTCTAGAGAGAAATGGTTCTTTGTCGATTCATATTGTTAAAAATCAAAGTGTCTATGAATAGAATAGGTCATTTACATAATATTATGACCTCTGATGTGACATACACATGAACCGGTGGGTATTTTAAAAGATATGTATAGCATATGCGTGGTGGGGGCCATCGAAATGAAAGGAAATTTTTAATCTGTATTTTAATCCACCGGCATTTGAAGGGATTAAAATAAAACCTTTTACTACTGCTTGACTATATACTACAATATAGTCAAACAGTAGTAAGAGCTTTTATTTTAATCCCTAATGCCCTTAATTAGATAGTTGTCCACCGCATTTTGGAGAAACCTTGATTAATTGTATAGTTTCATTGTATAAAGGTCCGGGTGATGAAATAATGAAATGGTGTTTAACTTCCTGCTTTCTGCACCAGACTGGGCTAATGAAGATGGGCATACACCATAAAGTGATGAAGGAAATTAATTGCCCGGACAGCGGCGCTATGGCCTACTCTTATTTCGAATTCCAATTGTCAAGGGTTCTTTTACGTGCACGCCAATGTGTAAACCTGACCTAGGATTTTTCCCATCCGAACGACTTGACACCGTTCCCTGTCAGGCCCGCCATCCCGCATCATTGACAAAGAGGACACCGCACCGGAAAAACCTGATAGGCATTCTCGGATCGAACCCGAAACCCAAGCCAACGTCTTATTCGCTGTGCCACTACGGCTCCCTGGGTACTATACATGGTACCTTGACTTTACTGAATGTCGCTTGACTTTACTAAGATGATTAAAACTGATAGGTCATACCATCATAAGCTAAAAAAAAATAACTAAGCTGTGTAATACGACAGGGGGGCCATATTCAAATATTTTCATTGTTCCAAATTTAAAATATCTAATAACGTTATTGGACTATATATTATGCAAATTCTACACCCATTTTCCTAAGTTTTTGAGGGTTATCAGGAGTTTTTAAGAACACACAGAATGGAATGTCAAAATATATTTTTCAGATACTCTCTTTATAATTTTATTTTTGTTCACATATAAACTACCGCATATTTTATCTTAACATCACAATAATTCGTAATGACCTAAGAACAATATTAATTAAAATTCAAATTAATTTTCATCTTCAAATTATTGTCGAATGTGTGTGTATATGCTACCCTGTGTTATATAATATTTGGGTAGACACCCCATATTTACGTTGCAGAGTAAAAAAAAAACATTACCGTACCAAACATTTACATTCTGTGTCCGAAATGTGTGTGATAAGTAATAAAGAAATGGCAACTCACCAAAGATAAAACAATTAAAATACACAAAATCAAATGTTTATAAGTCATCTCTACATAATATAACTACCGCGTTCAATTTTAATATTAACTATAAACTATACATCTACTCTGTCGATTAACTAAAGACAACTAAAAGCGTTCATTTCCGCCAATACTAGATTTCAACAGGATGCCATAAGTCAAAAGTCTCATTTTTGCGTCGCATAGAGTGCCCTTCTCCGGTATACAATACAATATGACGCACCCTAACGTGGAAGTATTTATATTCTGTTAAAGTCTGTGGTATAATTATGCAATCAAGTGTCATTTATCTACTTTATAATTTATATATTTGAGTAAGTAATCAATGAGAAAACTATCTCTCGTTATGTATACTGGAATTCGAAAATAATAGGCCATGAACGACTACAAATATGATGACATGTACTGACTGTGTGATTTATAGATAAAGTTTTCAAATTATTTAATACGTGTAACTTTTTGATCCAGCGGAGTTTGGGGGGGGGGGGGGGCTATCCATTCTTCAATAATTTTGAGCATGTTCAAAACAAACGCCAAGATTCTGGAAAGCTGTGAGAATATGGCTTTTTCAGGTTTGCAATTTTTTGAGACATTTTCTCACGCTGTGTCCACGTTTACCGGCGACCTTGTGCATTTATTTATACGGTAGCAATAGCGCAGTAAGGACGCCACCCCGTTCTGACGGGAGCATTAGTAATTGTGTCTACCAGAAATCGCCCAGAAAGCGTCTCTAACGATTTAGCCCCCCAGGAGCTTCAGGGGCCTAGGATGGTAGCCCCCATTCAAGAATAATTGCTTCCACCGGCCCTGTTGATTATAAAAACCATACTGAGTTTGTGGGTTTTTTTCCCATTGACAATTACTTCCATCAAATCCATTTATTTTAAATGGAAGGTGGAGTTGTTTATTCTTTATTCATATGTATTCAGATATTACACTACACAGTATAATATTCTTAGATGACGGATGTATATTAAATCGGTCAGCATTATGAGAAGTAATATACAAGCGATTTTACTTTTATTGATAAATTTATGCCATTTACATTATAACTATATAGATATAAGATCTTTCGAGGCCATACGCCATGAACAGATTATGGTGCCCCGTGGATCCTCCTGTAATATTTTCAAAATCCGAACTTTCCCATAGTGTGCTTGAATGAGTTTTGAATCTAGGAATTTGCGTACCCACCGACCGCCCCTAGTAGGACACAGTCCACTGGGTTTTTTTTGTATCGTATGTTAACTTTAAATACAGTATATTGATGTAACAATTGCTTCATATGCGTTTTTTTTAATATGAATTTCTCACGGCTTAATCCACGCTAATATGTATTCAGATTAATTATTTAACATTATAAAGGGGAATTAGGTAAGATTTGATAAAGAACTGACGGTGCTCGCTATAATAGTTACAAAGTAGATAATGAAAACAGAATATGCGGAACATTTCAGCCAAATTGTCTGACTCTGAGCCGAGATATTGTTTGTGGTGCTAGTTCCAACTCATTTATGGAGTCCGTGCACAGCGCGGTTGCAATTCTGAAATCAATACACCGGATTATCTATCATGTGCTTATGATTTTATGTTCTCTTTCGTGGATCATTATCGTACCCATAGAGGCTATAGGTTTTAACGGATTTCTTTTCAAAATTGGATGAAGGCAATGTGGTCATAAAAGGATGATATTCCAAGAGATTAGATTGCCCCAAAGAGCTTAGATCCTTATCAAATTTGCTCAACATCCAAGCTTTCCTTTTGGACAAGCTGCAGTTATGACAATCAAGATCACAGTGGTTCGGGTGGGACGAAAACCCGAGGCCTCGTGTACACATTGGCGTTCACCCTTGACATTTGGAATTCGAAGTAAGAGTAGGCTTTAGCGCACACGTCCGGGTAAAATTTCCATCACAGCAAACTGCATGCCCGTCAACATTAGCCTAGTAGGAGCAGAACAGTAGGACGTTAAACCCCATTTCATTTCATTTTGTAAAGAGCAGCTGAATCTATTTATCGTTGTTGATTTAGTCTCTAGTATAGCTGCTGATTAGGATTTCCTCCTTCAATCTTCAAGGGGTTTATTTCTCTGTTATTGATTTGTCAGACAAATAGACAGGGCAGTATGGGCTTTATTGGGCAAAACCTCACATAATTTACTTTGTCAATATGTTCATTATATTGACCGAATTTAATTTTCAACCTTTGTAAATTATTGGTTTCTGAGAAGCATGCAACAGTCCACATCAACTAGTTTACTTACTGGTCCCTTTATGTCTATAATGCCGACACAGCATCAAACTGTATCATCGCATTCAAACACCTTGTGTTTTATTGGGGTTTTTTAATTCGTGCAGATAGGGTAAATAACTTAAGGAAAAATCAAAAGTTAATTCTCCAACGTTGTTCGTTATTTTAAGATATCTGCACGATGAAAATAGCATTTCAATGAACAATTTCCTTATTTGAAGCAGTGATGTAATGTAAGTAGTGTGTGAGAGTAGGAAGTATATGAGAATGTAATACGACTCCGCATTCTTCCTTGTTTATAACTTTAATAATTATATAGTATTATTTTAAAAGGGACGTTAACCCCGAACCCATGCGCTTGTTGTATGCTCGCGAAAAAAAGCAAAAAAACGTCACAGTAGATTTTCTATAATTACGCGGATCTAGGATTATACTTAATTATACCCCCCCCCCCCAACAAAACAACAAACCCACCCCCCCCCCCAATTATCACTGCACGACAGACCGAAACTGACTCTGGTGTCATCGCAGTCTTCTTGGAATTGTGACGTCATATCAGAAATCGAAGACCGTCATTCAATACTCAATTGTCCAAGGAACAAACATGACATTCTCTATCGAATGGTTTAACGCGTTGTTTCAATCCCATTTTTATTTTGTGCGTGACAAGGAGTAGGTAGTCGCCTGATAACCTCGCTGGTGTTTCTCCGGATCCTCCGCCCCCCCCCCCCCCACTGTTAAAGTTCCCTACGCGCAAGCGACTAAATGGATATAAAATCGAAACGTGTTAGTCCCAGAACGACGTAGAGTGGACATTTTTTTTCTTGGCGAGAGGGAAACTACCTCTTTAAATTCTATTAGGAAAATCTTTTCGTGATAAGTGTGTGAATTATTAGAAGACAGAGTAAAGTTTAGCAGTTTTTAATATCCCTTCGATTGTAGTTTAAATTGTTTTAGAAATAAGTTGGGACATCCTGGGCGGGAATATCAATTCAGTAATATACTAAGCAGCAAAAGAAACGTCAGGTTGGTATGTTACTCTGAATAGACGCGTTGCATAAAATTTGTCAAATGTTTTTATTGTATATTTGTGACCACATCTCCAACTTTACCTGAGCAATAGGGCTCCTTCCCAAACACAGAAATGAACCCAGGAAATTTTCTCAAAAACGCAACCTGACTTCTGAGATGGTAATGTGTTCTCCATGATTTTCATGTAACTCATGCTGCATGTGCTGTTCACCGGGACCAGCCCTATAAAATGCACCCCCATACCTGGTTGAATCATTCATACTACAACGTCAGCAGCATACCACGACTCACGACATCTCAGGGGAACCAGGCGCTTGGAAGACTCGACGCTGACCACACTACCCAAGCCGTTGCCAATCACTTCCAGGTCAATGTTCGGACCATCTACAGGCTTTAGCAATGCTTTCGGGCCACCATCCCTTCACACAGACCAAGCGTTACCACAAGGTGACAAGACCGCCATGTTGTGTGACAGCACGTGCAGAATCCCTTCACACAGGCATCTGAGACAGCACGCCAGATAGTGGAAATACACGGAAGACCCATGCAGTACCGATACAGTGCGCCGACGTCTCACCAGAGAGAACATCCATTGCCGTAGACCTTACCGTGGACCGATCCTCACCCCTCGCCATCGACGTGAACGTCAACAGTTTGCCCAACAACACCAGAACTGGCGACACAGGCAATGGAGAACTGTTCTGTTCACAGATGAGAGTCGGTATTGCGTATCAACTGCAGATGGCAGGACCAAAATATGGTGTCAACGTGGCCACCATTATTCTGACCAATGTGTCATGGAACGAGACTCGTGGGGAGGCCCAAGCATAAATGTTGGGGTGGAATCGGCCTGAACCAAAGAGTGGGTCGGTCCAGTTGTGTTCCAAAATCTTGGTCCAGAGAGAGGAAGAGGCATCACAGCAGTGCGCTACATCGATCAAGCTCTCAGACCCCACGTCATACCACATTTCGCACGTCATCGAAACAACATTTCCAGCATGACAACGCCCGTGCCCACACCGCCACTTTCAACAGCAGAACGGTGTCAATGTTATGCACTGGCCAGCCCTTAGTCCGGACTTAGACCCGATTGAACATCTTTGGGATGAAATTCAGAGGAGACTTAATAACGTCGTACCGAGGCCAAACACAGCCGATAGATTGCGTCAGGCTTTTCAGAGAGTGTGGTTCCAGGTGCCAATGGCGGTCATCAATCGCCTGGTCCACTCCACTCTGCTTTTCACGGTCTAAGAAGGAAGATTCTACATTTTCACATCCAATTTGATCTACCCCCAGAATTATTGTCTAAAACCGTTGTTATGTAACCCAATGTGGTTAACCGTTCCCTTTCGATATTGCTGAAATTTGGTATGTAATAACCTTATTTTGGTTATTGTAGCTTGATCGGACATGGTTCCTGTGATATGGATCATTCGATATTGGCGATTTTGAAGAAAATGGGCGTTATAGCCAGAGATATTCAAATTCAAATGATAAAGCTCGGTAACTGGCATATTCCTGAAGCAATTTTAAATGCCCGAGAAATCCCTCTCTGGGATTATGTCTAATCAAACGAAATACTGCGAGGAGTATGGGTAACTGGTTGGTCAAAATAATGATTCCTAATCTGCCACCATTGTTGACATAAGGGTGTTTTAAAGAATGGTGTCCTCATAATTTTTACTTTGACCTTGAATCTTACCTTGTAGTCACTGTGACCTTGCAAAGACCTTACTGTAAAATATAGTCCTGCATGTTTTCTATTTGATTACCCAATCCCAAAAATCAATGTTTTTACATCTAGTAATCAAGTCTGA